ATTCATATTTAATTAGTTTTTTTTTACCTTTTTTAATTCAATTATAGAGGAACGCTCAAGCCTTTTCATCATTCAGGTCCTTATTTGCTCCAAAATTAAATATTACAAAGTTTTTAGAGCATATAGAGGGTCCATATGCAAGGGATATTTTTCACTCGTGACCTTATTAAATGTCTAGAATTTTACCAAAAATTTAATAATGTCCCCACTAAATTTTTCGATAGTCTTATTGTCATGTTAATTTGACTTTTTTTTTAAAATTATTTATTTATTTTTATTTTTTTAAGACAAGAATATTATATTAGAAGTAAAAGGGTACAAAGGCTCGAAGCTAGACTCCCTAGAACAACAGGAAGTAATGCAACCACTAGGCAACGATGGCGTTTGCTTTTAAAAAAAATTATCACCGTTCAAGACCACCTTTCTCGAATAATTTCAAAACGAGAGATAAGAACAAATTTCTTTAGGTTAGTAATCATATTTTCATAATTATGTTCACAATTTGCTTATAAAATTTTAAGTTTAAACTGCCTCAAGGGGCATAGCTGTGTTGGCAAGGATCCGGGAGGTAAGTTCTTGAGACCTCGCTTTCAAACCATACTCCTAAGTTGAATGAGTGCGTGCGTTGTGGGATCAATACACGTGCTCTAAGAAAAATATATATATCTATATTTTAAATTTAAACTAATACAACAAAATGCCTACCAACACAAAACATACACATAAATAAACATGTCACACACTAATTGAATGTGAAGTGTGAAACAATAAATTTAACCGACTCAAAATTCTTCTCATCATCAATTACGAACTAATATGGTTCCAACTTCCTTATCTCTACCCCCAGATTTCCCTTTTTCATTTTGTCACATATCAAATATTTTCTCGACAATGACTACTATACATTATTACTACATTATGACCTAATTATTTAAGACTTCATTTTTCAATTGCATTAAATTGGAAGTTGGAACTAATATGAAGTGTTTGCCATTCGAGGGAAAAGTCCTATCATTTCACTTTCAATGTATCACTAATTCAAGCCAATAACGTAAGAATTAGGTAGTTAAAATAATGGGTAAGCAAGGAAATTATTAACAAAGTCTCCCTTTCTAAATAATAGAGTGAGTTATTGAAAGAAACTCATCGCTTTCGTAGGGGAGAATGAAAAAGAAAGAAGAAACACAATGCCGTATACCAAATAACCAAACTTGACAAGTTTCCGTCACGCGTTCACATCAAAGCTGATCTCAAAGTCAAGGGTCTACTTCGATCAGATTTCTAAATTCTCAAAGACTCACAATTTTTCAAAAAAAATTTACAACTAAACAAATTTCTATACAATATTTTGATTAAAAGTTCTCTAAAAATAAAAAATTTACCTCAAAAGGCCAAACAAAATAGACCCTAAGAGACAATTTGACTCCTTTTTTTGTAATAATAGTTTTTACAATTTCCTGAACCGAGTAAAGTTTAAAAAATTCAGTCTAAAGCTGTTTCAGATGGACTAAACCAAACTCATTAAACTCCCTCTCTCTTGCGCTCTCTTTGGCACACTCTGTAAATAAATCCTCTGATAAATTTAAATCCTAAGTTAACTAAATTATTCATACTAAATTATTTTTAAATATATAAATTTAAATCCTAAGTTAACTAAATTATTTATACTAAATTATTTTTAAATATTTAAAAATAAATAATTTTGTAAAATGACAGAAAAAAATACTATTGGAGGACACTTCTCACGTGCAAAAAACACCCCTAAAGTTTCAATTTTGTACAAATAAAGCCCGACAAATTTAAACCTTAAGTTGGCTAAATTACCCTTATTGAACCATTTTATAATATATATAAAAATAAATACGGTATAAAATAACTGAAAATGACACTATTGGAGCAATGGACAAGCAAAAATAAAAATAAAAAAGTAAAGAAAAGATAAAAATAAAAAATAAAAATAAAGAGTAAACTAAAGAAAACAAATCTGTTCCAAACTCCGAAAATTAGTGCACACTAATATTAGAATTTTTTTCCTTTATATATATATATATATATATATATATATATATATATTTTGAAAAAAAATAAAATAAAGACACAAATATTAGTAGAAAACATAAAACTAAAATCTCAACAAATTCAAATCTTATTCTACAAATTCTCAAAATTTCAAAAATAATAAAAAAAATTTAGAGACACATTGAGAAAAAAGTTTAAAAAATATATATATATATATATATACACACACATAATACTCCTATATTATGAAGTTAGTAGCATATATATACATCCTTGAGTATTTTTTGTAAGAGTAAAAAGAAAAAATAAGTATTACAATAGTACCAATGAGCCTAACAATATTAGCCCTTACTTCTCAAAGAAAAATCAATGGTTCAAGTCCCAGTAGAGACGTGTATGCAAGTACCAACTATGAAAAATATTTATATATATAAATATATTACAACAGTAATTTATGTCATGAGGGGTATTTTTGCACAATGTGAAAAGATTAAGGGCGTTTTTTGCATACTCTTTCAAATAAGGAGTAAAAGTGTTACGCTATGTAAAAACACTTTTTTAAGAGTGTTTTCTCCACGTGAATGATACTTTCACAAGCCATTAATAGGAAGGGGGACTACTTAGCAAAAGGAATATGAAACGAACTCTTTTGATTGAATAGAGAATGAATTTGACTACCATTACTTCATCAAGAACATGAGGACGAGCAATGCCATCGACTACTGATCCAATCCGCTAGGTCAGGGAACCTAGGCCGAGCCTAATCGATTAAGTAAAATAGTGCCCTGGTAACTCTTCCATTCCATTAAGGCACGGTTAGCAAGCAAAGGCAAGTTCTTCAACGAGATGAGAGCTACCCATTTCCTGCTCTAAGGTAGTAAGTACTGCACGAGCAAGGCGCACAGTAGTCTAATGAACCATTTGACCAATTTGTAGTTTTGTAGCAAAAACGCTCCAATGCATCCAATATGAAAATGTGGCACAAATGATCAAATACAGTTGAGTCAGTTGACATGCCATCCAGTGCGGTTTTTTTGTATGCAATTCAATTCACTTGTTTACTAACCTGCTCAAAGAGACAGTGAGCCGGAATAAGTCAATCAACATAGAGAGGTTGACCTCAATTTGTACCAAATGTCGAAAGAAAAGAAAATAAAACACCCTCATTTAAGAGCAGTTTCCAATTTCATCATTTTGATGTGTACCTGGGAGACTTACTTTCAGTACATTTCGTCAATTTCAATGACACTAATTTCCATGCCCTGGTTCCTAAAGTAAAATGAAATTCAGACTCTGGTACGTACCTCTATGAAGAGGCAATGTGAATACAATTTTTCCTGTTGTAAGATGCATATTGAATAATAATAACCACATATACATCATAAATCACAATCTTGTACAAAAATGAACAACTCTATTTCTTATTACTCAATCAAATAATGAAAGCCATGTATCCTTTCTATACCGAAAGTTCTGTTCAAAAGTATATAACATAATATCCTACTCCATATATTACATGCATGATAATATGGATTGTCCACAAATAATTTAGATTATGTAATAATATAGACCTGCCACAATAACAAAATCTTGCCAGTGTTTAAGTAACCAGCAAAAATCACATCTTTTGAATCTTAAATGCAACTTATCAACTTTAATTATCTTAAATTTTCAATTTGTACAAAATCAGCCACAATAAGGCTTCAAAAGAATAATATTGCAACTAAGTCTGTGGCCTAGCGGTACAAGGTCCCTACTTTTCAAAGGAGGTCAGGGGTTCGAACCTTAGTGGAGGCCGTGTGTGTAAATACCAACTAGAAAAAAAAAAAAAAAAAAAAAAAAAAAGAATAATATTGCATGTTGACTAATATAAAGTAATAGATGTAAATAAGAGTAGAAGTTTTTGGTTTAAACAATTTCATCTTAACACATTAATCAACAATATGGAGGCATTACTACCTTGAATTGAGAGACAAAAAACTTGAAAGCAATAGGTCACTGCATACTAACCAGAGAATCAGGAGATAACTAGTTTGTCATTCTTCACCTTCCATTTGTGATGCAGCATCATCTTATCTTCAACCTCATACTATTTCAGAATTTATAACAAGGACTAGTGGGATGTAACCATCAGCTTTATGATGTAATAAATTCAGAACGAAAGTTATGTTTTAAGATGCAAAAGACTCCAGAGTGAAATTCATCATTTAAGATGCAACAGAATTATATTTCTAATTATGCTTGAACAGGAGATGGAATATGGGGGAAATCATTTTTTATTTTCAGTGTGGGGAAATCCTTGTTATTTTCTTTATCTTTTCCTTTCCCTATCCTTTTCCTTTCTCTTAGGCCCAGTTTGGATCAAGAGAAAAAGGCAAAAAAAAAAAAAAAAAAAAAAAAAAAAATTAAGAAAGGTAATGGAGGGAAATTATACAAATTAGTATAAATTATTTAAGGAAGAAAGGTAATGGAGGAATAAAAATTAGACACGATGAGTAAGTTTTTTTATGCTTCCAAAAATGGGAGAAAAGGGCCAAGAAGTTTAATATAACTTTTCTAATATCTAATTTTTACTTAGCTTTATAAAATACAAAATCCAAATACCATATAAATCCTAGGGTATGTTTCTATTCTTTTTAACCCTTAGTTTACAAATTGCCATTTTGACTTAAATGTTTAGCATGATCTTTATATTTGTCTTTTAAATGTGAAAGGGTATGGTGGTATATTCATTAAAATAATTTCATTTCCTTTCTTTTCCCATAATTTTCTTTTCCTAACACTCCTCACCCTATTCAGACACAACATTATCCATTTTTAGCTCCCCGGACAAGAGACTTCCCAATGGATCACCTATCCCGGTACCACTCCAGATTAAGCACGTTTAATTCTTAGGCGCTGGCTTTACAAGTATAAAAGGGGGTAAAAGGCCAAAATTTGGAAGAGTTGCTTGCTATATTTGAGACTTTGAGCATATTGAGTAGACCAATTTAAATGATACTATAGATTTAAAACAAAAATTACATTAACAAAGCAAACTGAATCTATAAGCAAAATAAGGTTACAGATATCTTCTTTATGGTTTACATAAAAAAGAAAATATGAAATTATTGGTTTAACACTACAGTCATGGACATTATCAGACGAGTAACGCTGGAATCTTTGTGAAACAGCACCCTAAGGTTGTTCTCCACTTCTGCCATTACTCCTTTCAGGTCTGTCCAATGCCATCGACACAGCTTCATCTAACAAATATTCAATAAAGAAATTTAAGTTTGAAGACTTTATCAGTAACTCATGACTCAAATCTTAATTAGCCTAAAAACAAATAATTAGGTTGGCACATTTAACTCAAAGCTTAGTCTGATTGTATAGAAAATGAGCTGAGCCATAAACCAAATTTTCCCGCACCTGACAGAAATATAAACAAGCCAGAACCAACTGAAACTGTCTGGGATAGTAAAGTATTCTCATTTCAAATCTTAATTATAGCTAATGGCAAGTAAACAATCTGCAACGATGTAGAGCAAACCAGCTTCCAACATATTCAAACTAGGGTTTGCAACAGACCAGGATGGTCCGAGTTCTAAATATAAATAAGAGAATGTCTATCTGCTGCCCCATCCATGCCTGGCTTTAACTTGGACCTAAACTAGTTAGCCCAAGCCCTGGCAAGTAAATGGTTAACTTGCCTACAAGAATAAAAAGATAGACAGATGCCTTTTCAACTCGCAAATCAAGTGTTCCAACTTGTATTGTTCATCTCTTTATCTCATAAACTTTGCGCATTTTCTATGTTAGAAAAGTGAAATATAATTTATGTGCATAACACTCTAGCAGGGAAAGACCTCAAATGCTGTCACCAAGCCCGGCCCTAAAAGTTGAGCATGTTATAGAAGAATAGAAAGCAGTCGAGCCAGGCCCTATGTGTCTATCACACCTAAACAGTGCAGTTATCTAGAGTCATTCAGAATTTCAGACATTCCTTCCAATTTATTTTCATCCGTCCGCTTGTTAATCAAATTCAACAGAAACAAAAATAGAAAATCAATAATTCAGCCTTTCTAATATTGTGTATACATAAGAAGTGTGTGTATTTTAACATTTGTGAAATTAAAATTCTTGTTATAATTCAAGTACATGAACAGAAATATATAGAAAAGGCAGATCATGTAAATCCAATAGCAACCACTTGGTGAGAATAAAGTTGGAACGTAGGCTTGTACACTACCAGCCCCTAAAAACATTTTTTGATAAGTAGAATTGACAAGATAATCAACACTGAGAATGGTCTTCCTCCAAAGATATATCCTATTTCTCGATACTACATAATAACAATATGTCGATCAACAATAAAATTTTAACCATGTGAATGACTTATAAACCCCTGTTGTTCGCTGACTTTATTGATAATGAGGAAACGGACTTCTGCACATTAAGATTTAAAAAATTAAATATTAAATTAAACCCGAGGACCACAAAAAGTTATAAACTTTGCATGGACTCTTCTAATTAGGAGTGTACATGGTTTGACTTGGCCCGATTCTAGGACAAATTAGGACCAAACTGGTCCCAATGCTTCTAGAAATATTGAAACTAAATGGAACCGATAAAACCAGTGGTTTGGTTCTGTTTTGGGCTTTCTTACATATATATATATATATATATATACATATATAAATTAATAGTGTTCAACTACTCCATGTTGAGTGTACACTAAACAAATGATACCCCACACCTTTGTTTGCAAATAGTTAGGAAACTACTAATTCTTCCAATTATCATTAAATACAATGAGGTGAAATGACAAAATAGACAATTGCTCTCTTGAAGGGAAAAAAAAAACACAAAGAACGCAATTGATCAGAAACTTAGTATTACGTTATTTTTGGTACAACTTCTCCCACTAAAAACACCAAATGGCCACGTTGATTGTTTTACGTTAAACAAGTACGTTGTTGATGGCAGTCTCATATATTCTAGTTTACCAAAATATGGGTTAGTTTACTATATATTCAAAGTGCATAGCTGGATTCAATTCTTGGTCATTGTTATATAGCTTTGGAATTATGATGCCAGAATTGAACCATAAACTTTGGTGCAAAATCTAGGAGATGCAGTATTATACCAGCTGGTTGTCCTCACCAACTTAAAATGTTTGAGGTCTTCTTATCAAACATTGCATGTCCACACTCCAACATAAGTCACATTCACTGCTATAATGGTTCTATCTTTATATCTGAGTCACTATACTTGAATAAAAAGACTTCACCACTACAATCTATGGTACGTTCAAATTTTTAAGCCGGTGAGAACAACAGCTGGTATAAAAATTGCATGTTTTAGATTTTGCACAAAAGTCTATAGTCCAATTATTGCATCATAATGCAAATACAATATAACCATAACCAAGAATTGAATCCAACTATGCACTTTGATATTCAGGTAAATTATAATATATATATATATATATATATGTATATGTATATATATTTGGGTCTTTCTTAGCCAAAGGACAGTTCTTCAATCTTTCTTAAATCTTTCCGTGATCATACATAAGATCGATTTGGTTTTTATATCAAAACTGATGTTTGACCCTTGACCTTTGCCCTACAAATAAATCCATTGAGGCTAGGGGTTGATGCAGAAAGGTTGAATGTTGGTAAGAGTTTGGTTGGATAGAGTTTTGAGAAAATAAAAAGAAGGATTTGGGACCAATTTTGGTGCAATGATCAGTAACTTCTAATTGAACTTTAAATTTTGTTGTTTCTTTTGATTGTAAGGATTGAATCTTTGAACAAAGGAATGATATTGCTCATTAAAGTGGTTTATTAGTGCCGAAACAATGATTAACAATATCAGTTTCAAAGTATCAAGTATGAAATAATAAGGAAAGGAGGAAAAGAAAAAAAATGTAAATATAAATCTAAGAATAACTCAGAAGTCATAACTTAGGCATGGATTGCAACGCAGTCCCAAAAGGCTTCAAAAGTTCATAGATTTCCTTTGAACTGATCTCCACTAAATTTTGGGCATATAATAAGGTTATTAATGGTTGTAGTTGGGTTTGAGGATTATATATATATATATATATATATAAACGAAGAATCAACCACCTATCCACTAGCCAGAGTGGACTCTCAAATGCACGCAATTTCACATGTGGTGAGTCTTGACCAAATACCTAAGTAGAGTACCCCAAAGACCTTAGCAGTTGAGCTAGCCCATGCCGGCAAGGGGGTTTGAGAATGTTGTCAGCATAGAAATACAACTTTAATATCATACCCTCACTATAGCATACATATATTATTTAGTTTCTTTTACATTTTCACTTGTAATATTGTCAATTTCAATCAGGCCATAACATCATTTTAATTACAAAATGAAGTTGAAGATAATGCCATTGAAACACGATGATTCAAAGCCAGTAACCTAATAAAACAATAAAAAGGACTGATCTATAGCAGAATGAGAGACTATGAGTTTGTATAGACGTGTTTCCAATTTATATGCAAGAAGATGCAATATTATGAGCAATATATGTTTTATCCACATCAACATACTCACAATCACACACACGACATAGATCCCACACAGAGATACACGCACAAATATATAGAGGCTTACCTGCTTCAATTTTCCTGTGATCTCAATCATGCAATCTTAAATCTCGAGAAACGCATATGCATTCAATAGCAAGTTAGTATAATCACACACACACACAAAAATATATACACAAACATATAGAGGTTGACCTGCTTCAACTTTCCTGTGATCTCAATCATGCAACCTTGAATCTTGAGAAACGCCAATTCATTCAAATAGCAAGTTAGAAAAAAAAACAAAAACAAAACAAAACAAAAAAAAGAACGGAAAAACAAAAAAAAAAAAAGAAACACGATATTGACAAACACCTACACAAATACTCCAGAATATGTATACGATATGTATGTATATATAGGGCTGGCTGGAGCCCTAGCCAACTTAAGCAGACCCCATCCAAAAGAAAAGGCTCCTAAAAGTATGATTTTCTTATAGTATGTATACAATATGTATGTATATATAAGGCTGGCTGGAGCCCTAGCCAACTTAAGCAGACCCCATCCAAAAGAAAAGGCTCCTAAAAGTATGATTTGCTTATAGTATTAGACTTTTTTAAAATATTAATTGCTTCATTATTGAAACCCCAACCAATAGTAGGGGTTTAATATTAGCCCAATGAATTATATTCATTCTAAAACTCCTTATTCCAACCCCAATTAAAACTACTCTTATTTTCACTTTTATCACACCTCCCTTCTTTTCTCCTCCACCCCATTATAGTTTTTTTTACTCCTATATCACTAGTATTAATTTTTTTTTTAAGTATTAATGAATTAAAAAAGGCGTTCAAAAGGGGAACGCGTCCCTTAAACAATAGTGGAACCGGGAGCTAAGTGTAACGACCCACTCCACCACGTGATATGATATTGTCCGCTTTGGGCCTGAGCCTGCACAGTTTTGTTCTTGGACTTTACCCCAAAAGGCCTCATATCAATTGAAGTGACACACCTACGTATAAGCACTTCACCTTTCCCTTTTCCAGGCAATGTGGGACTGTTCACCCGTAACTCGCCAGTGTGGTAGCCTTTCAGTGTCTCGCACCCGCCCACGGCATACCCGCCCATAGGGTCATTACAATCCACCCCCCTTTGGAGGCCAGGCGTCCCAGTCGACACACTTCCGGCTGGGTCAGGCTCTGATACCATTTGTAACAACCCACTTCACCACATGATATGATATTGTCCGTTTTAGGCCTGAGCCCGTACGTTTTTACTCTTAGGCTTTACCCCAAAAGGCCTCATACCAATTGGAGTGACACACCTACATATAAGCACTTTACCTTTCCCTTTCCCTTTCTCAGACGATGTGAGATTGTGCACCCGTAGCTCGCCAGTGTGGTAACCTGACAATGTCTCGTACCCGCCCACGGCACACCCTCCCACAAGGTCATCACAATCCACCCCCCTTGGAGGCCCGACGTCCCCGTCGGCACACTTCCAGCTGGGTCAGGCTCTGATACCATTTCAAACGACCCACTCCACCATATGGTATGATATTGTCCACTTTGGACCTAAGCCCCCACTGTTTTACTCTTGAGCTTTATCCCAAAAGGCCTCATACCAATTAAAGTGACACACCTACATATAAGCACTTTATCTTTCCCTTTCCCAGGCGATGTGGGACTGTGCACCCATAGCTCGCCAATGTGGTAGCCTGTCAGTGTCTCACACCCGCCACAAGGTCAATTGAAGTGACACACCTACATATAAGCACTTTACATTTCCCTTTCCCAGGCGATGTGGGACTGTGCACCCGTAGCTCGCCAATGTGGTAGCTTGTCAGTGTCTCACACCCACCCACAAGGTCATCACAATAGGTCTTTTGGGGTAAAACCCAAGAGCAAAACTGTGCGAGCTCAGGCCCAAAGCGGATAATATCATAGCATGTGATGGAGTGGGTCGTTACACTAAGGCCCCAAAGAATCCAAAAAAGTAATTAAATCATCAGAAGAAGAGCATCACATAACTAAAGAGAGAACGAATAATAAAAATTTTCAGCGGTCGCTATAGACGACTCCTTCTCTTCGAACATTCTACCATTTCTCTCCTTCCAGATGCACCACCAAACGCAATGTGGGACAATTCTCCAGTGATCACGTACACCCATACTCACACGACATCCTCTCTAAGCATGAATCAAATCATTAGAAGAACGTGACATTACCCAATACATGCCAAACAACCCAAGAATAAGATTCCAACAGTCGTGCGCCATGGGGCCAATGCATTAGGAGATGATCAACTGACTCCCCATCTTGCTTGCATAGACAGCACCAATTAACAAAACAATTTCCCCTCTTCCTCAAATTATCAATCGTCAATATCTTACCCCAAACAGCGGTCCATACAAAGAATACCACCCTAGTTGGAGCCATAGAGCGCCAAATGGTCTTCGGAAGTCAAGATTTGGATCCTTTCCAAAATAGTATTAATTGTTGAAAATATATGTAACCTATTATTGTGGGAATTAAATAAAAGATTTAAATCCTCTCCAAATTAGTCTTTCTCCCAGCATCTACAAGCATCCATCCAATAATCAAATCCAAACAAATCTAAAATCTCACTACTTAAGTATATCCACATATTGAATACGATTGAGGTCTTCCAAATTTATTCAAATTATTAATATAGCAGTGATTTATATTTTAGTGATTCAAAAAAAAATATGTATTAAAATTTAAAAGCCTTAGATCAAATGGTGAAACGTGCTTTCAGATTTCAGACCATGTAAAAATCTATAAATCTCTAATGTAAAATCCAAACAAGCATCCATCCAACAATCAAATCCAAACAAATCTAAAATCCCACTATTTAAGTACACCCAAATATTGAATACAATTGAGGTTTCCAAATTTATTCAAATTATTAATATAGTAGTGATTTAAATTTTAGTGATTCAAAAAAAAAAATGTATTAAAATTTAAAAGCCTTAGATCAAATGGTCAAACGTGCTTTCAGATTTCAAACCATGTAAAAATCTATAAATCTCTAATGTAACAAGCCTTTATTATGTGAACCATGTGATTCATCCAACAAGCATGTATGGTAATTCAATATTACCATTTAATTTTTTTTTTTTTTTTTGATAAGTCAATATTACCATTTAATTAAACATAAAATTATTTCATCTGTGCTGCATTCATTCTGAGGTGCTTTTAAAATGAAAGAAATGCCCATGTTGAAAAATCTGTGACATGAAAAATTATATATAAAACTAATTTTACCTTAAAAAAATAGAAGAAGAATATTAAAAACACAAATTTTGGTCATTTTCATACTTAGGTTCAGGTATTTGATAAATTTGATAGGATAATATTCCCAACCTATGTAATATTGCAAATAGTTCAAAGAGAAAAAATCTTTACACAAGATTTTTCAAGAACTCCTAGACCTCCCCCAACGCATATGCAAGCACCCAGTTACGAACACAGATAAAAAGATGTAACCACTAATTCTTAATAATGATGTGAACCCATTTTTTTATCCCCATTCTTTTTGATAAGTGTTGTTAGTAACAATACTACTGTGAGTCTGTAAGCCCATACCCAAAACACCAAACAAGATTATAAATGTCAAATAAAAAATAAAATAAAAGTAGCCTGTGTTGCATGGACTCTTCTAAATAGGAGTGTACACTGTTGGAATTGGATTAGGACCAAACTGGTCCCAACACTTCTAGAAATATTGAAACTAAATGTAACCGATAAAACCAGTGGTTCGGCTCTGTTTTGGGCTTTCTGACATATATATTAATAGTGTTCAACTACTTCATGTTGAGTAGGGAGCACCTTTGTTTGCAATAGTTTAGGAAAATACTAATTCTTCCAATGACCATCAAATACAATGAGGTGCAATAACAAAAATGGAGAATTGAAAACAAAGAACGCAATTAATCGGAAACTTAGTATTACATTATTTTTGGTACAAGTTCTCCAATAAAAACACTTAACGGGCACGTTGTATTGTGTTAAACATGTACGTTGTTGATAGTACCCGTAATCATATATATTCTAAATTACCAGAATATGGTTAGTTTACTATATATTCAAAGTACATAGTTGGATTGAATTCTCGGTGATTGTTATATTGCTTTTGCATTATGATGCAAGAATTGAACCATAGACTTTGGTGCAAAATCTAGGAGATGCGGTTTAATACCAGCTGGGTGTCCTCACCAACTTAAATGTTTGAGGCCTTCTTATCAAACATTGCATATCCACACATCGACAGAAGTCACATTCACTGCTATAATGGCTCTATCATTATATGTGAGTCATTCTATACTTGGATAAAAGGACTTCACTTCTACAATCCATGGTACCCTCAAATTTTCAAGTTGATGAGAAAAACCAGCTGGTATAAAAACTGGATGTCCTAGATTTTGCACAAAAGTCTGTAGTTCAATTCTTGCATCATACTACAAAAACGATATAACCATAACCAATAACTGAATCCAACTAAGCACTTTGAATATTCCGGTAAATTTGAATATATACGCCTTTTAGTGATCGTATAAAAGATGGCATCATGTTGCCTGCTTCTCAATTTTCCTCGTAAACTTCTTCAACTTCTAGCCCCAATAAGATCAATGTGGTTTTTACATCAAAACTGGTGTTTAACCCTTGACCTTTGCCCTACAAATACATCCCATTGAGGTTGGGGGTTGATGCAAAAGGTTTAATGTGAGTTTGGTTGGATAGAGTTTTGAGAAAATAAAAGGAAGGTTTTGGAGCCAATTTTGGTGCTATGATCAGTAACTTCTAATTGAATTATAAGTTTTGTAGTTTCTTTTGATTGTTAGGGTTGAATCTTCAAGAAATAAATGTTATGGCTAATTAAAGTGAATTTTTCGCACCGACTATCAACAATATCAGTTTCAAAAGTATGAATAAATAAAGAAAAGAAGAAAATAAATATATATAAACATAAATCTATGAATTACTCAATATCACAATTGAGGCTTGGATTGCATCGCAATCCCAAAAGGGTTCAAAAGTTCTTACATTCCTTTGAACTGATCTCCACTAAATTTTGAGCATATAATAAGGTTATTAATGGATCTAGGATTTAAGAAATAAAAATCAACCACCCGGTGACTCTAGGAAGCACGCAATCTCACATTTGACCGTACCGGTTGAGCTAGCCCAGGCAAGGGTTTAAGAATGTTGTCAGCACAGAAATTTAACTTTAATATCATATTCTCAACTATAGCATAAACTATTTAGTTGCTCTTACATTTTCAATTGTAATATTGTTAATGATTCAAAGCCAGTAACCTAATTTAATAATAAAAATGACTGATCTAAAGCAGAATCAATTCAAAATCGCTAAATCGGATACGGCGCACGAACATCATTGATATAGTGAGACTATTTCCAAAAGCCAATGAGTTCGTATAGATGTGTTGCTGATTTATGTGCAAGAAGATGCAATATTAAGAGCATTATAGGTTTCATTGATGTCAAATACTCACAATCACACACACCACACCAGATATATATCAACACACACGAGACATATATCGCACACATATAGAGGCTTACCTGCTTCAATTTTCCTGTGATCTAAATCATGCAATCTTAATCCTCGAGAAACGCCTATGCATTCAATAGCAAGTTAGCAACACAAACAAACAAACAATAAATAAATTTAAAAAAATAAAATTCTATTTTGATAAACCCTACAAGCAAAAACTCCGCAATGTATCGGAGTGTGTATGTACTGCTAGTATATATATAGAGAGGAACGGCTGAAACCCTAGTTTGATGTCAGGACTGAAATTTTGGGTAGGCTGGCTCAAGGCCAGTCTCAACTAGCCCACTTTGGTTGGGTTGTACCACTGTTTGGTTTATACAACGGACTTGACCAGTTCTAGCCCGGGAGGCGATATTGCAATAAACTTTTCTACGTGGTTATTCTAAATCTACTCTTTCAAATAAATTATTATTATTTTTTGTATGACATAAAGTCCTTTAAAATTTAAAAAAATTTACATATAGTATTAAAAATAAAAAAAAAGTTATTTCTATTGAATAAATTGCCTCTTAAAAAAAATTATTTCTTTTGACTTCAAAAAAATATACTCCATCTATTTAAAATAGTTAGGTACTTTGAAAACTATGACTTATAAATTTTTATCCCAAAATAATTGGGTACTTTACAAAAATTTAAGACTGATGGAATATATTTATAGTATAAATGATCTCTTTTATCAAGATGGTTTGGTGTGTTGAGAGAAGTATCCAAACGAAACTCACTCACAAAGACAACCCGAGCATCAAAAAAAAAAAGAGAGAACCTGAGCATCCCAAAAAAAGGTAAAAAAAATAAAAGGTGAGGATTAAAAAATAATAATCTTTATTGAGTAAATTATATCTTTTTGATAAGATCAAAAATATATATATTTATTTTTGTTGAATAAATTATCTTTTTTGACTGGACCATCAAAATTACAAAAAAATTAATAATAATAAGTTACTCGTAAAAGCTTCTTTGTTGAATAAATTGTCTATTTTGATTGGACAAAATAATAATAATAATAAAAAATCACTATTGATTAAATTATCTCTTATGTCAAAAATAAAATTATCTTTACTAAACAAATTATTTTATTTGAGAGGCCTCGAAAAAAATATATATAGACTATAAAAAATATATATATAGTAAGGGAAGTAAAAGAAGGTAAAAATAAAAAATTAAAAAAAAATAAGCTGTACATATAAAGGGTAGTTATGATAGTTATGATATTTTAAAATAAGAAATGATGTATTAATGAGTTTTGGGACCCTTTTATCATTTCCTTTAAAAGGAAAAAGAGATATAAAGCGCGAGAAAAGTGGTGTGCACCTCCAAAAATTATTATAAAATATTGAAGCCCAGCCTCTCCTGCATATATTTTATAATATATTTTATAAATTGAAATAATACAAATACAAAAAATAAAAATAGAATGTTGTGTTAGTTTTCTTTAGGCTTCCTTTGGTAAGATTGAATCAACTACAAAAAAAAAAAAAAACAAACGTAAGGAAAGATTATTTTTTTTATTTTTTTTTAAGTTTGGATAAATGAAAAAAGAATCATAATAAAAAATTTAGTTAAAATAATATTTTTTCATAAAAAATGCTTCATTCCTATTTTATTCCACAATTGAATAATGTAAAACAACTCCACTTCATTCTTTTACAACTCAATTTATTTTTTACTGAATTTCAAAGTGATAAGTTCTCTAATAATTTCTATTTTAGCAGACTTCTAAAAGGCAAGTTCTCTTATAATGCTAGTTAAAGTATATTATATATATATATACACCTATATTATATGTACAGAATAATACATTTGGCTCTTTTGTATTCTCAATTTGAAAAATCATGAGTCCACGAGCCCAATATATATATATATATATATATATATATATATATATATATATATATATATATATATATATTGTATTTTTAAGCTTCCTTATTTTTATTAATTTTAAATTAATAATTAGTTTTACTTCTACCTAAGAAGTTTTACTTGTTTTGAAGTATTGTTTTAATTTAAACAATATAAATAATTATATTATTAAATTTAATAATTTATCATTTTATTAAAATTTTCGTAAAAATGGACATCATAAAACCCAAATTTATTTATTTTTTTAGTATTTTAAATTATAAAGATAATTTTAATATTTACAATCACCTTTTTTCATTTTCATGCTATCCAAAATGAAAGAATCATTTTTATAATCAAAACAAAAAAATAAAAGGAAAAGTTATTTTCTAACAATCATTTGATTAGTATGCAAATTTATTCAAAACATTTGTATAAAAATATTAATTTGGATAGCATGAAAATGAAAGAAGGTGATTGTACATATTAAAATTATCTTTATAATTTCAAATACTAAAAAAATAAATAAATTTGGGTTTTATGATGTCCATTTTTACGAAAATTTTAATAAAAATGATAAATTATTAAATTTAATAATATAATTATTTATATTGTTTAAATTAAAACAATACTTCAAAACAAGTAAAACTTCTTAGGTAGAAGTAAAACTAATTATTAATTTAAAATTAATAAAAATAAGGAAACTTAAATATATATATATATATATAGGGCTCGTGGACTCATGATTTTTCAAATTGAGAACACAAAAAGAGCCAAATGTATTATTCTGTACATATAATATAGGTGTATATATATATATTATATACTTTAACTAGCATTGCAAGAGAACTTACCTTTTAGAAGTCCGCTAAAATAGAAATTATTAAAGAACTTGTCACTTTGAAATTCAATCAAGAATAAATTGAGTTGTAAAAGAATGAAGTTGAGTTGTTTTACATTATTCAATTGTGGAATAAAATAGGAACGAAGCATTTTTTTATGAGAAAATATTATTTTAACTAAATTTTTTATTATGATTCTTTTTTCATTTATCCAAACTTTAAAAAAAATAAAAAAATTTATCTCTCCTTACGTTTTTTTTTTTTTGTAGTTGATTCAATCTTAGCAAAGGAAGCCTAAAGAAAACTAATACAACATTCTTTTTATTTTCTTACTTATTTCTATAACTAATGTTGTACTTGTTGTAAGACACGAGTGCAATTGTTGGACATTGGATTGGTATATATATATATATATATATATTCAAATAAAACGACTAATGTTATTTACAAATTAGAATCAGGAACATCACTGAAAGTTACAAATTAGAGTCAAAATATCAACAAGTTGAACCAATAATGGATTTCTAGAAGTATTTTGGCATTTTCCTTCAATGACTAAACCAATGACCGATCAACGGATGAACGTAAAGTTTGAAAGAGAGAGAGAGAGAGAGTTTTGTTTTTATATCAACATCCTCTATCAGTTTGTTGTTGTTGTATCTACATCTCTTCACTATAGCGAATAGAGACTTTTGGTGTCGAAAAACACCAATTTTTTTGGCGGCTAAGATCGCAATCCAAGGAATTCTGTATAATTTCAGGCTACCCATTTGAGATTTTGACAGACCCAGATCGAATCCGAGATTGGTCGATGAGGAAACCGATGATTTGGTCATGACCCATCATCCAAGTGTGAGTGAACTCACTAGGGTTTTATGCTGTCGATAAGAAAATGACGGAGAGGGATAGAAACGTAAATCTTGTTTCTTAAATCAGATTCATGGGGACTTGTTTTAGTAGTGAAGAGGAGGAACAACAGCAACAAAACCACAAACCTCTTCAAAACAAGCCAGGTATTAATCTCTCTCTCTTTTGTAAGTACATTTTGAATTTTTATTTGTTTTCAGTTGCATTTTTCTTAATTAATTATGTGTTTGTTTATAAATGTCTACAATTTCATGGAAATTGTTTGTTTTTGGCGTGTAATTGAATATAATCAGCACTCTAGTTATATAGAAGGGTTAAACTTATGGGCAATGGGGGCTTAATAAGTCTCATGCTTTAATGTGTTTACTACTGTTAAATCTTAAGTGAATAAATTGTACGTAGATATTACTGCGATTTGTGTCACTTGTCTTTCTATTAAAAGAAATTGGAACCTAATTTGAACTTAGTTTAATAATGTAGCTCAATTAGTTCATTTATGAGTGTATTTGGTACCTTTATCGAAAATTATGGCTTGATTAGTCACTATTTTGGGTGCTGGTGATTACACGAATTAAGTCCACCATCCAAGCAAAACTCTAATAGACATTCTAAATTTTATCGGCTCGTCTTTCAAATTGACCATGACTTCCATTTCTTGGCACTGGCAAAAGCCAAAGCCAATTGATATTCTTGAAGAAAATGTTGCAAGGATTAAATCCATGATTTATTTTGAATTTGCACGAGAGTAAATTTAAGATATCCTGACTAAATGTTATTAGTACTTACTATTAACCTCTATTATTGCTCGAACTCTATATTCACGAAAAATTCAAATACAGCAGAGTCACATGGGATCAAAAGTGAAAGCAGCATCTTGGTTATTCCCAAAAATGTGAGGGATCTTCGCCAAAATCCTGGATATTGTAATGTTGATAGCTTTACATATGAAGAAATGAGGCTGGCCACCAAGCACTTCCGGCCTGATCAAGTTCTTGGCGATGGTGGGTTCGGGATGGTCTATAAAGGAGTTATAGATGAGAAGGTCAGACTGGGTTACAAAACCACTCAAGTTGCCATTAAGGAGCTTGATCCAGAAGGGATCCAAGGCGACAGAGAATGGCTGGTACTTTGCTTATGTGTGTTTTTGCTGCTTCTTACATTTGCACAGTTGTACTAACTATAAATGCGGAAAGCTTGGTATTTTACTTTATTCTCCATCCCTGGAGCATGGGTCAAAATTAGTTTTACTAATGCAAAAAAAGTAAAGATTTGTAGTGATGTGTTATAAAAGAATGGTTAAGACTTATATAAATAATAATAATAAAAAAAAAGAATGGTAAATCCAGTATAATATTGCTAACCAAATAGGTAGCGAAAAATAATCTTTAAAGGGATCTAGCTGACTTTAGTTTTAATAAAGTTTTACCAACTGCTTAATGAATAGAAAGAAGCAGTCATTGAAGGATGAGGCTGTATGGAGTGTGGAACATGCCAAGGAGAAGAGCCTTAAATATCCAAGGAAATTAGACTTTTGTAGCCATGGTTTTATAATATATGGAAAGAAAGGAATCAGAAAGAATTTAAGAAAATAACAAGATTGGCTACAGAGGTCATACAAGAGAGAAACTTTGACCTTTGAAGATAGACTGAAATTAGGCTTGAAACGCATAGCATAAATGGGTTTGAACATCGATCTCTGTAAAGCATTATCCCGCTGAGATTCATCTAACATGTAATACCATACTTGTTTAACAGGTGGCTAGTTGAAGCTTCTCTGTTAAACGTTTCTACACGGAACTCAGCTGCTGTTGTGTTTGCTTTGTTGCTTGACTGACCCTTTTGTACAGACTCTAGGAGGGAAGAGGGATGCCCCTTTCTTTGATATGCAAATAATGCCCCAAAAACAATTTTAAAAAATAAAAATAAAAATAAAAATGTGGCCGGCTGGAAAAATTTCCTCTCAAATATAATGTCAGCTTGTTCTTTTGTTGACCTTTTACAATAAGGGAAAGAAGTTAGAGGATTCAGTTTTTTGTATTTACTATTGTGTTGTTTACTTGCAGGCAGAGATCAACTACTTAGGGCAGCTCTGTCACCCCAATCTCGTTAAGCTTATTGGGTACTGCTGTGAGGATGAACACAGATTGTTGGTTTATGAATATATGGCTTCCGGGAGCTTGGATAACCACCTCTTTCGCAGTGAGTTCCTAATGCTATTATGAAGCTATGTGACTTGATAAGGGAATGACTTCTAATGTGAATCAACTCCCAAACAGACCTTATTTTTACAAGACATGAGAACTAATATTATTTAATGAAGTAGAGGGAGAAATCCAAAAGGGAAAGGATGATAATACTCTGGGCTAGAATTAAAGAAACCTAAGCATAAAGCGCCCCAACTGAAAAGAGAAAATACAGACCAAAATCAAACAAGACAGATGCCCCCGCCCTGCAAACATTAACTTACAATTTATACTTAAGTTGGTCTGCTATCAAGGACGTATATATATATATATATATATATATATATAATTTCCCTAGTTGGTACTCACGCACCCCCCTCCAAGGGATTGTTTGGACCTCACAGGAATCGATCCTGAGACCTGATACTCATGAGGCACCAGGGCCTAAGTCTTTTCCAATTAGGCCAATCCCTTGGGGTTAGCGGATCATATTTTTGAAAAAATAGAAATTGAAGATCTTCCTTTTAAGCTCCTGCAATCTAGTTTACAGATGGGGTTCATGTCTGCTGATTTTGTTACCAAAGGCTCATTTTTTCTTTGAAAATCTTACCCCAAAAGGGAATGGACATGGTGTGAGAAAGGGTTCGACCCTGCAACACAATGCCCTTGAATATGCTTATCTTACAGTCGATAAAAATGGTGGGAACAACATCCATTTCATTTTTATAAAAAACTACTATTTTTTCCCCTCTAGAATAATAGGCAGTGTCACACTTTTTCAGTAAATATTGCCATAAAATATGTAAATTTCCCAATCACATGGACTAGTTCCGCTTGTTGAGAAGTAGTCAACTGGAAGTCTGGAACTCAGTCCTGTTGGAAATATGACTTTGTTAGAGACAACAGGAATCTAGGTAAACAACTTTTTGATTTAAAGAGATCACGTATTATTTATAGTAACAAGAAAAGGAAATAAAGGGAAGCAGACCTTGTGAAAGAAAGAGCTGTTATGCTGGAAATATTGAAAGCAAATGCTTTTCAAAGTAATTGAGGCACTCATTCTAATCCATCAGTTAAATTGTTTTATTGCTTCCAAACTATCTATACAATCTATCTGGATTGTGCTTGTAGGAGTGTGTGCCACGCTAACATGGTCAAGAAGAATGAAGATTGCTTTGGATGCCGCAAAAGGGCTTGCTTTTCTTCATGGTGCTGAAAGACCCATCATATATCGGGATTTCAAGACATCTAACATCCTGCTAGATGTGGTTAGTTTTCATCTCTCTTAACATAATTGAAAATATTGCTAGTTCATCTTGTTTATAGGTGCCATTGTGGATCCCGTGAGATCTGGACATCCCATCATAAACGTGCTGAAAAATTCCTCTCTCTCTCTCTCTCTCTCTCTCTCTCTTCATTTTTCATTTTTATTTTTTAAAAGTCCTGCTAGAACATGCTGGTTTGTTCCCTTTCACACTTTGTTTTCATAGACTAGTGTGCCTTGAACAGAGGTTTTGTTTTAGCAGTCTGAGAAGAGAGAAGATACTGGATACACACAAAATGAACTTTTTAGTATCTTCTACCGGTAATGTTTCCCAAGAAAAAATGCCAACTTCTTTTGGAAATAATAGTTAATATGAAGCTTTGCGAATAGAGTGATATTTCTTGAGCTTTTTTCTTTACATTACTAAAATATATGTAATCACCTGCAGGATTTTAATGCAAAGCTTTCCGACTTTGGGCTCGCAAAGGATGGGCCTATGGGAGACCAGACCCATGTGTCAACTCGTGTTGTGGGCACTTACGGATATGCAGCTCCTGAATATGTCATGACTGGTGCGTATTATGGTGGCAAATTCCAATTGATTACCTGTTATTGCACTGGAAATTTGATACTTAGAAATAGCTTAACTTTTGCTGAGAAAAGAATGAAACAAAATATTATTTCAACTCGTGAATAGGGTGTTTTCATTGTTCTGGTGACATTTTGTTTATGAAATTTATGACTAGCATCCCATGGCTTACATCGTGGTTCAAAAGGCTGGAGAACAGAGACAAGTATTAAATAAAAATTGAACATTCTGCTTGTCAAGTATTCTGTTGTTTGGTTGTGGAGGGATCATGATGATAATTTTATTATATTTGATGAAAAAAATCTCTCCAAAGTCAGGATAGTTTTGGTGAGAAATAAGATTTTTGGAATAAAATCTACAATTTTCTTCTTGTTTATTTTCTTCCTATCGTTGTGCCCCATCTTCTTTGCACAACCAAGTGCCAGAATTTCACAGTATCCTGTGTCCGTTATTCCGTTCTTCTATCATTGTCTTTTCTTCAAAGTTCTCTTAAACACACTTCTCAAAAAATAGTCGCTTAAACTTACAGTGTCTGATGGAATATAAATTTTTTAATGTCCATGTTAAATTATTAAATCATTTTAACAGTAAAATATAGGAAGGAGTAACAACATTATACTACTTATATTTTTTGTGCATATCCCTTTGCCAATGAACTGCTTGTGTTGTTAATCTACGATAAGCATTATAATTGCACTTTTTGTTTGAGGACTAGAGTGTATGTATAAATATAATTTTGATCTGGTCAGGCCATTTAACTGCTCGAAGTGATGTTTACGGTTTTGGGGTCGTGTTACTTGAGATGCTAATTGGAAGGAGAGCGATGGACAAGGGCAGGCCTAGTCGAGAACATAACTTGGTTGAGTGGGCTCGTCCACTCTTGAACCATAAGAAGCAGCTTCGGAGGATTTTAGACCCTAGAATGGAAGGACAGTACTCATCTAAAGCTGTCCAAAAGGTGTCCAATTTAGCATACCAATGCCTCAGCCAAAACCCAAAAGGGAGGCCTGTCATGACCCAAGTGGTCGAAATTCTCCAGACTCTTCAGACTCAAGAGGGAAGCCGAGAAGAAGTAATGCTTCAAGGCGGGGGTAGTAGTGTAACGCTTCACGAAGCTCAAGAGAACAAACCTAAAACTCCAACAGAAAAGAAGAGATGCCCAATCAGAAATGACACACAGAGAGAAGCTGAGGAGCCTCGAAGGGGCAAGGGTGAGCATCCAAAGGAGTGTGATCTTTATAGCCCTTATCTGGACATCGACGAGAGATCAGTTTCTATGGCAAGCTGAACTTAGAAGTCAAATATGAAGGGAAATGAGCTAGCATAAGATGTATCAACCAGTCTCTCATTTGTTAAGTCTTTTTCCCTTCTGAGAATTCCTTGTTTTTGGTCTGTTATTTAGAGGAACTTTAGATGTTTAATTACTGATATTTTCCTATTTACTTGCTCAGATATCAATTATTTTTTTTTTAATGTGCAACTAAGGTAGTGCAATAGCATTAATGTTATCATTTGGATAATGAATGTATCCAACAAAAAAACTGTAGTTCAATGAAGTGTTTTACTTTAAAAAGAATTATCCTTCGTGGTGTCCTGTGCATAAATATCTTATTGTGTCCCTGTATGAATTGCTGCGATCATGTTAGCATAGTATTAGCCTAATGGGTAACCTTGTGAGTGGTGACTCTAACCCATCTCATCTCATCCAATGGATTTTATTGAATTTAGGACTATTTATGGACTGTTCTCTGAACATTCAAGTTCTACAGTGTTTGTTAATATGATTTCTGTTGTACAATTTATCTTCAAAACGATTCCATCTTTCAACAAAGCCAAAAGCCTGGAAAGGACAATGCTTGGACCTCCCCTAGGAGGAGTCCTCATGGTACTAGTAGTAAAAAATTAAAATATGGGTTAGATCCGTCTTTGATGGGTTAATCGGGTAAAATTCAAAAGTAATCCCCCCCTTTCCTCTGGCAAATCTCCAGATTCTCCACTCCCAGAACCATTGCCCTCTCCCCACCCTCCACCGCCACTCCCCACCACCTGTCTGTCTGCATCTCACTCCACCACCGCTGCTCCATAGCCTCTTTATCTCTCTTTCCCCACCCTAATCGATGAGAGTTGGTAGTGGTGTTTTGGGTGTTACAGAGATCTGTGCATGTGAGGAGGAGAGAGAGATGATGGGTGAATGAAATACTCACCTGATATGAACGATTCAATCAATAGTAATATGAACGAATTATTGAAAGCCTAAAACCCTAGAGAGAGAGATCGAGATCAAGTTTCCTAAAAATGAATCAAAACAAACGGCTTGCATTCATAAGCTCTCTGATATGAATTGAAATGGTGCACCTAATAGTCAGCGAAAAGATATATTATTTTGTCTTTATTTATTGTCCATCATTCTTCATGTCTCTGTTAGGCTGCTAGGAAAATGCTAGAAAATGAAAAAAAAATTGAAATATTGATTCTTAAGATTTTTGTTGGTTCAAATCAAGAAACTCTTTGGGCCATGAAAAAAATTGTGAACTTTCCACAGGTGCCAATTTCTTCTTCCATGTTATTTTGTTGTTCGCTTGTTTAAAGGGTTTTGTTGATTTTGGCACTTCTATGTTGACAGAAAAACAAGAGAGCCGAATTTTTCATATTGGTTTAGATTATTATTCTTTTTAAATAATATTTTAAATTTGGGTCACATTTCCTGGGGAGGAACCCATGCATTGTCCTGTCCACCTGGAAAACTCTCCCCAGTCCTGGTTTAGTGGTCATAAAACAGAACTTTGCAACTCTTTTAATTTCATTTCCTAGAAGGCAGTGATCTACTATTGAGTTTGCACGTAGAGTCGCCTGAAGTCGTTGCTCAAATAGTAGTATTCGTGACTGCAATACTAGAGAAAATTAGAAAAAAAAACAAAAAAGGAGCTGCTGCTATTTACTGAGTTCTTCAAAGTTCTAAACTAAACAAGTACCAGGAAAATTTAAAAAATGTATATAAAAAACAAGGTGGTATTTAGGGCTACTTTTCAACTTTTCCAGAGGCCTGCAGTACCCGACTACAATATTCTCCCAAAGCCCAAATTGGGAAAATGTTCCTGTATGCGGCATAAGTGATCATGCAATTCTTGTTGAAGACACCCATGATCTCCTGCAAAAAGAAAAATAACAATTATAAAAACCAGAGTGATGATATGACTGAGGTGCACGATTTTATGTTCCATGCTGTAAAAAAGTATCATTCCATTTTCTACGGCATTCTGAGACCTCAAATTCAATGGAGCAATCACCAATAACAATGAGAAAAGAGGAAAAACTATTATTCATTTCGCACAATTTTATCAAAACATCTGGTTATGGCTCCAGTACACTGGAAAAGTTTGTAGAATATGTACATAGGAACAAAATAGAGGGAGTTCATTACATGAGTTTTCTTTAATGTTCCCTCCGGTCAATATTTTGGAAATAACACTTTGATTAAGAAACTAACTCTTAAGTTTCATTGTAGGATAACCAAAAAATTGTAACAAAGCCGCAGGTTACTCCTGAACTTTTGCTGTGAATCCAGATATTTGAAAGAAATGGCTTTTCTGGTATGCATTATCCCAAAAAAAGAAACCAAAATTTTAAATCAATTAATTATTAATTATTACTTATGTAATAATCCAAATCTGTTTTGGACAATTCATACAAAACAATACAACAGAAAAAAAATAAATAAATAAATAAATAAATTGCCTACCAGATTTGGGCCTGGTATGTTCTCTCCAATGTGTCAAACCAAGGTATATTGAAGATCAATCTTCTTAAAGGCTTTTTCGAAGTGTATTATTTCATATTGTTTTCAATATTGCATCTTATAATTTATCTGGAATTATAGAAGGTACTATTTCTAAAGAGGCAAGAATCAAGAGGAACCAGCTGAAAACTTTGTTAATTAAATAATAATAATAATCATAATAAATAAATAAATAAAACTGTTACCAATTCCTTTGTAGGAAAGTTTTGCTGAAGAAACACCGCAACATGACTTTCAAGGTGCAAGTTTATGTTCATTTAGACACATACCCATTTAGAGAGTGGTTAATGATGCACACTAGACAATCAAGTATGATAATAATAGCATTGTGGAGAAACTGTGAATGCATTATTCAAGTGTTATGAAATTAAAGAAAGTCTTTAGTCTGGGGTCTTGCTCTGGTATCTGCAATTTAATGTACTGGTAGCAGCTTGTAGAGGTCATAATACAAGGCAGGAAATGTCACAGAATAAGCTACACAGACTTTCCTATACTAGGCATGACTTTCCAATCAAATATGCCAGGAAGGAAGTGTATGAAATTTACCTCCTGTGGAAAATCTCCGTTCTCCATTTGAGAATTTATCAATAATCTCGCTGCACGGTGCAATGGTGTAGGGTCTCTCTCAGCCTGCACCAAGTTCAAAACAAATTTAGGAGAAATATTATTCCAAACGCAAGTAAACCTTTTCACTTGCTTGCCCATATACCTTTTCATTCGCAGGTCTGGTATTTACAATTTTGTTTCCATCTTCCCATTAATAATAAAAAGAGTGATTTAACTATAGAGTAGAATTAGATAGTACGATGCTGAGAATGAAAATTAAAATTCAAGAACACCATCTAACAATGCTGTGAGAGAAGAACATTAATAGAAAATTTGCAAATGCTTGTGTGTAAAACATATCCAGATTCCAAATATCTAATAGATATACCAACTGAACAAGGCAGCAAAATGCTATCTTTCAGAATTTCACCTAGATTCCCGATGGTAACCTGACCAAACATGGAAACTTCACAATTTAAATGAAAGAATGTGTGCCTGAGTAGGTTTGTATCTATATTTAACACAAAATTATGAAATTTGTGTAGATCATGGTCCACAGACACAGATGCAGGTGCAGACACTGTGATGGATGCAGGGCTGTACTGGACAGTGTGTGAATTTATTTTAACCTTGCACATAGGGTGAAAAATGCACCAACACAACATAATCTAATAAATGTGGATTTTTAAGGAATTCTAGTGATTTTTGTTAAATTTTTAAGAATGATCTAATACAACTAATTTAGTATATACATGAATTTTATGTCATGAACCAACTTGACTCATAAGAAATTTGGGTTTACCATGTTCAATAACATTATATAATCAAGGCCCAATTTTCAAATTTGTTTAGGCTTGTAATGGAACATATTTTTCACTAAAAAAGAGGCTCATCTTGTTTAAGGCCAATATATTCACTAAAGCCTTGTCAATTTTGAACAGTTAGATTATCAGAGAACTAACAGCTTCAGATAGATCCTTCAAACAAAGATACACGTTTCTCTTCAAATTCAAACGCTAAATGGCACAATCCCACCCCCACCCCCACCCCCAACTCCCCTTCTTCACACCATTCTCTTCAAAACCATAGCCATCCCACCCCCTTCCCCTCTCTTCTAATCTCCATCGTCAGTATATGTGACATTATCACCTTTCTCTTTGAAACCGTTGCCATCCACTCTCTCTCTCACGTGTCTTCAGATCTAAAGTGAGAAATAATGGTGAAAATGGTGCAAAAAACCTGTTGGGCCTATTCACTTCCAACTCGGCCGAGTCAGACACTATTTGGCTGATTCTCTCCTATTTCCTACCAAGTCAGTCCAAGTGATCTCAAGCCATGTGAAATTCTTGAGTATCACCGCAATAGGGACCTAACGCGAGCTTGGCCTTGCTAGAATCTATTGCGAATCGGCCAAATCGGTAAACTATGGAATAAACAGAGAGTTTATATAGAAAGGAGAAGGTTTCATATATACATTATTTATAGTGGGAAAATCCCTTCACAAAAAACACATAAGAAAAGCTACTTGATGCAAGTACATTCAAGATTTGTAAAGTACATTGTAATATCTAACACCCACCCCACCTTTTTAATAACAAAAATAGTAATGCACTGAAATCAGATTTACCTTTTTTAGATAATGAACCATGCACTGCTATATTAATATTAATAGAAGTGCTGTATCAAAACTCGACGTTTACCTGCCCAGCGTCAATTAGAGCAAGCATAGCCCATCCAGTATTTACTACATGAGACCTGTTCCCCTCAAGATTCGTGTATACCTGCAATAAAAGGCATTAAATCAATTGCGCATATGAAAATATATTAGAACACAAGGATCAATCTTAGCACCAGTGATTCCAACAGTTTCACCCCAAAAGTATCCCCAACGTGATGCCATTAAGAATATAACACTCTTCCCAGGATTGCTTTTACCAAAATATTTAACAAAGTAAGGCTTTCTCTCTAGTCTCTCCAGATGTATGCATCAAATACTGTAATCATGTTACAAACTAACATTTTGCATCACTGTCATAATTGAAAATTGTATAAAAAGTTCAGAACATGCAGAGCTCGTTCTCTATCATCTTAAGAGGAAAAGAATCTTTCAACTTTTCCTCTTTCCATATTTATGGCTTAATTACCTGTGAACAAGACCAATACTAAAAAAGATTCAGAACAAACAGTTCTCAGTATTTTATTTTTCAAATCTAAAGGGGAACTGTATCTGCCGACCCAATTAGTTGGGAAAAAGGTTTGGTTGTTGTTATTGAAAGGAGAACAAACGTGCAGATATGCCATCATCTGTGACTGTTACCATGATAAATCATGCTTTGTTCTGAACGTATGAAGAAAGACACCAACCTGTGGATCTTAGGTATGGCCCACTCTCAGGTCCCATCGTCCATCTTTTTCATATTCCGAAGTCATTAAACCCTATCTAGGGCCGCAATTTTAGTTAACAAAGTATGACTTTCCTCGCTACCTTAACTCGTGCTCTTTTTTGACCTCTCACTCATCATTGCAATACAACAATCCAGACCATGTTCTATATATAGTCCATAAAAAGGTCCTTGTTGGGGCGCAGAAACGCACAAATTCTGAGATCTAATGAAAGCCAACAAAGCAATCACACACAAATACTAGAAATAACGTGGTTCAACCAAAACTGGCCTACATTCAACGATGAGAAGAGATTCCACTATGATTCGTAGAGTTATTACACTTGTAGAGCACCAACACCATGTACATGCCTTTTTACCATGTAACACTCCACGAGTCTATCTCCGTCACCCTCGGTGTTTTTCCTACCCTACCAACCCACAAACTATCTCTATCCATCAACTCCCTCATGAGACTGCATCTCTCCCAATCTCATAAGTCTCAACCCACAACCTAGGTACCTATTTATAGAGTTCCAAACCCAATTCTTTGTTGGACAAGGACTACAATTCTTCTGAGCCCAAGACTTGTAAAACAAGAAATACCTAATAAAATACAACTCTAAAATAGAAACCTAATTAAACTAGGAATTTGAGACAAAATTCCCAACAGTCTTCATACATGGTCTTTAATTGCTCTAGATGGGTTTCTTTCATACTTCAAAATCTTAAGTTCCTAGTTTGAGTCATAGCTTGTCCTGGATTAAAAAATATATCAAATAGCCTATATCAATCATTGTTGGCATTAGTTTTCCAGTTTTATTATTCTGCAGCTACACCTTATTAATCACACCTTGTGCAATCATAGAACGCTTGATCTGATAAGCCTAAGACCTTCAACCATTGCAATCCAAAGTGCAAAAGAACCCAAGCTGATCCACAAACAGCACCAAAAAGAAGTCACTTCAGTTGCTCTATTAATACCTAATCAACTCTCACCCTTTCCACAATAACATTTTCTACCATCCATAACCCTAAAATAAACACTGTTCAGATATTCTAGCAACAACACAAAACCCCCCCCCCCCAAACAACAAAAACCCAACACACACACAATTTCCTACAACCAACACCTTCAAGACCAAGTCTAACCTTGGTCCCCTTCCATTTACAAAGGCAACACCTTCAAGACAAAGTCTAAATTTGGTCCCATTCCATTTACAAAGGCTACCAGGTTTATGCCACCAGGATCCCATGAAGTGACATTACGATGTATGTGAGCCCCCAAAGCCCTGCATCCAACCCAGGCAGCTCGGTCAAGGTGTCACTTTCCACAATACTCTCCATGAGGCCAGTTTTCTCAAGGCCCTCGACAGCCAGCCAAATGTTTAGAATTGCCACATAGGATCATTCGGATGCTGACATGTCCATGACACTCTCATTGCCACTTGTTTGTCGAGGACTAGATACCCACACTAGTCCATGTGTCACACATTAAAAAATAAAAATAGAAAAATATGCAACACCTTTGCACTTTGATCAATTCAGTTTCAATAAAGCACGCCAAAAAAGGGGTGAAACCAGAATTAAATATAACTCTTAAAACTCTTTACCTTGTTCTGACATGAAAGATAGCTTTCTCCCCAACCACCAGAAACAAGCTGCTTGGACAATAGAAAATCACAAGCCTTACGGACACTAGGGCAATTATCGAAGTTCTTTCCAGCAGCCACCAACCCTTTTACCCCAAACCATGTGCCATAGGTGAAGCAAACTCCCCAAGAGCCATACCTGGTAAGATGTTTTAGATATAAATCACTTTCTACTTGTCGACCATAAAGATTGCAAATGTAGTATAGTCACTTGAGAAGCCTCAAAATATTAAGTGAAGCTCAGAAATTGACACACCAGAGAGAAAAGCAACCAGCCATCAGATATATAAACACAATAAATGTTTCCTCCAAAAAAATATGGGAAGGAGAAATTAACAAGAAAACAAAAACAAACCATGAGCCATCTGTTGCTTGTATCTTTTCAATAAACATAGCAGCTCTCTCAATGCAATGTTCAATTTCTTCTCTTCGATGCCCAGGGTATAATTTCTTAAATGATGTCAAAGCCTGAATTGCAGCTGAGGTACATTCCACATAACTACATAACCATTGTAGTTGATAGTTAATTGTACAGTTTCATAAACAAAGGCATATATAACAAATAATGGAGTACAACAAAGTGCAGGTATCTTACGGGTAATCAATAACAATGTCGCCAAAAGTTTCAGCAGGGTTGATTAACTGAAATAGAAAATAAAATTAAGAAAAAAGGAAGTTTTATGTTTTGGTAATACAAAATACAGTCAAGATAGAACATATTGAGTGGTAATGGATTCTATATTAACCGGCAAGAACAGAACCAATCAAACATTTTAGTAACACTAAAATTTTCCAATCACTTCCTGATCATGACATGTGACTGACTTTTGCCACCCCCAAATATCTACCATACAGGACACCTTCCCATCCTTCAATCTCCATGCATATAGCAAGAAGTTTCGCAGAAATCACTAGAGGTGAAGGATGGGAATATCATCATCTTATGGATAAAAATGGAAGGTTTATGTTTCTATAGGCAGTATTCTACAATAAGATTGCCTGGCCCAAAACTTTCTAACAAAGGCACATGGAACTTTAATTATATATAAAAAAATAAAAATAAAAATTTAATTGAGAAAAAAGCACAATGAAACCACTTCAGGAGGGAAAAAAAATTATTGCTACTAAAAGAGACAAGGAAAAAGAAAAAAAGAAAGAGAAATATTAGTTCTAGTTTCAACAACAAACGGCTAGTGAGCTCGTTCAAAACTTGTAAAGCTTGTTAGGATGAACAAACCAGTAAAACAGTAAAACAGTTACTTCCTCAACCATGCACCAATCGACCCCTTCTAATAAACATGAGAAAGAGGAGGATAGCGAAACTTCACATACTGTTAGACTTAGTTTGACGAACATGACATTTTATAATTACCAAGGTAGGTAGTGAACTAATTCAAAGCTAATACTATTCCACTATCCCTATCAGTTTCAGGTAACTTTAGCATTAAGACAAGCACCACTCTGGATAGAAGAAAGTTGGTGATATACCCATAATAACATTCAACCTTGCTAGAGAGAGAAGATAATTAAGTAGATTTTATGCTACTGGCAAAATGATAATCAATTTCGAGTAAGAAACACAGTTTCGTAAAGGAGGTTACCTCCAACCAACTGTAGGATCTTGTGAGTTCATATGTTGCAAAGCCACCATCGGGATTCTGCAGAATACGAAGAAAAGGGCTTATTAGAGATTCACAAAATCTGCATTTAGAACCATTTTGAGGAAGAAACTTAGATAAGAAAATGGAAATAGCATAATTTACAAGATTCTAAATTTGTTCAAATATTCAGTCATGAGAATGCTGAATATAACCACTTTCTAAGATAAAAAAATAAAATAAAAAATTCCAAGGGTTACAAAAAACAAGGAGAAAAATATAAACTGACAATGCATTTAGCAAACAAATAACATAATTATCAGTCAAATTTCAAGGAGTTAAATTACCTGTAACGAAAGGATAACGTTTACACTATCATATAACCGTTTTGCGTCTAATGGTTCACCAACAATTTCTGATGGCAATTTTGATAGTAAAAGAACGGCCTGAACAAATAAATAAACATAAAAAAAGAAGAAGATTGAAAATAAACAAATTGGCATAATTTGAGTTTGGTCCATTATTACTTTCAGTCCTTCTGCAGTGCAATCAGAAATGGGCCATCCATGATCATTAGTTGAGAAAGGCCATGCACCTTTCGAAATATGGCGGTACCAGAAATCAAGATTGCCTGGGCAATCATCTAAAACCTATGAAGCAAAAAGAAGGCAGTCAAAAGAAAACTGAAGTAATTAAATCAAATTGTTAAGATGCTAAAACAAGTGGTATGACATAAATCAGAGTCAAATAGAAATGAGAATCACCTGTGAGTTCTTTATGTACATATGTGCCTTTCTTAAAGTTGGACCATATTCTTCAACAAGGTTTGTTGAGATAATTGCTTGAGCAGCAAAAGCAGTGTCCCATAATTGACTTCCATTATAACCCTGGAATTGATTCACTATATCTGTTAAGATAATTAGAAATATATATATATATATATATATCCAAATGAACCGTTACGGTAAATCTTTGTATATAAATGCAATTAGAAATTATAAAACCCTTCCAACAGTTGTCCCTTACTAGAGTTGTATGTTTGTATTGGTTGTAACAAAGCGAGAAGTATTGAGTCAACCCACAGAATAATTAAATATGGTATAATACTATTTCTATACCTGCATTTTCATGCCATCTTCGGCAAGCCACAGAAAATCCAAGATTCTTGGAAGATGTAATTTGAAAGCCTCTGAGTTTGGATCTTCCACCCAACAGCAAAGCATATTCAACACCTAAATAAAATTTCCGTTTAAAAAAGAAAGAGAAGGAGCGACTGGATAAACTGATACAGTAACAAATCTCAATCATTATGTAATCACTTAGATGCAGCGATGCACTAAAGAAAAAACCCAAAAAAAAGGGAGGGAAAGTAACTTTTTTAGTCATGTAGGATTTCTTGAGAAGGAAAATTAATAATAAAGCAATGCAAAGGGACTGCTTCATTCAGTTTTCTAAGAATAATTTAGTGTTCTCAGAGAACTAGAGTTGGAAAATTCATTTGGTTAGAAGCTTTCTGAAAACTGCTGATTTCAGAGAATCTTTTATACTAGTACTTCTTTGAAAACAGTTTCAGTTTTTTAGATCTGAAAACTGTTTTCAGAACTAAACCAAGCAGGACTAAAGTCATCCTCTAAAAATTTTGGGATCATCTAACAGTGAAGGATATAAGGAATCTGACATGCAATATTATGAATCGTTAGAAAACTTGAAACATTTATGACCATTGTTTCTTCATAGAAACTAGTTACAGAGGCAACATCAGAGTATTCACTGTATTTCACAAAGAAAAATCTCAACAAAGTAAAAGAACAATATTGAGATCCTTTAAATGCGAACCTTGTTTACAGGCCCTATGCATATATAACGAGTATTCTCATCTTCATAATGTATATGCTCCATCACAGTACGAAGAGACTTCTCTCTCAGCTTTTTCCCAGGCCAACGCATAAAAATAGGTTCCAAAAGCTTGTCAAGAGATGCCCAAAGTATGTCTTGTACAAGGGGGTGTGGATAGTACAGGTCTTCCTGCAAGAAATGAAAATTTCTCCTGTCATTGTAGGTAGGAATAGAAACAAAAAAGCAAATACTGAGGACAATTTGTGCATTGCTTCTGCATAGTACAAAGGCTTTCACTAGATCTATTAAATTTCGAAAAATAGGTAGTGAACAAAATCAGAGCTGAATCTTTCTGCAAACAAAAACCCTTTTTCAACATTCATATATATCAAAAAAACCAAAAGCCATTAGTTTCGTTGGCTCATATAACCATGAGTTACTGAACATCATTTAAGAACTGAATATCACTAAAAAAAGGTTTTATGACACAGACAGAGCCGAAACCACTCAAATAGTTATCAGTATTTTGACAATGCACCATTGGAGTCTGCAATTCAAAGAAAGGTTCTAGACACTCAGAATTGAGGCAAATAAAATAGTGAAAACCCAAATCATGTACACATGGACAACTAGAAGCAATCATAATATGCAATCTGCACATCTATGATCGACTCTTAATCTCTGATAGCATACAGTCACAGAATTTGCAAAAAGTTAAATACCAAAGCATTCAGTTGTCTTTAAAACACATTCAAATAAAAATGTCAGCCTTAACCCATATGTATGAGATTCATGAAGCAATATCAGCATTCATATTCTTATAACTTGCATCAGGATTCTATGATGGTAGTGCCATATACATCCCTACATCCAGGCTTGAGACCTATAAAAAAAGAGCAGCAGCAATGTTTCTGAAGCACTAAATCTAAATACTGCAGTCATCCAGCGGGACTATTCCAAAATATTTAATCAATTTTTGTCCAGACAATATCTTCTAAAAGTTAGTATAGGATTGAGCATAGAATCCAGTACTATGCAAACGAATCACGTTTATTTGACTCAAAAAGTTGGTATTTTCAGAACAATCTAACCTACCATATCAATTTTTTAGTATGACTAAAGAGTTTTGAATATTAATAATCATGAATCAAATGGAAACAAGGTAATACACATGCCTACTAGCAAAATTGATGAGCTAACTCGTTTTTTAATTATTCTAGTAACTTCAAATGGTACGCTAACACATGCATAAATTTTCATGAAATTAAGACTTTTTCCAGAAGGTAATAGGAAAAACACCAATAAAGTTATCAACAGATCATCTGAGACTTACTCTTGAGAAATTTTTTTCCATGAATAACTGATAATGATAATCGCTTATATGCAACCCAATTTCACTTCCTAGCGTATATGGTGTATTCCACTCTGCTATCACTCTCAGTTAAAACTTCCATATATTTTATCAAAAAGATTGTTTCCCGCTACTGTTCCAAGGATTCGAGAATGCAATCATCTCCTTGTTTCGATGATTCTCAACATTCTCATTTTTGCCAAACTGATCTCACTTACCTCCTCCATGCCCGGATAGGCGATAACATTTCACAACTATGTTGAACAATTAGCTTAAAGTATTCAAGAACATAGTCAAGGCAATTCTAAAAACTTATGCATATTATGGACACCACGCAGAACCTGACACCATCATTCACATGGTTCTTCCACAATTTTCAAGAATATTAAAAAGCAGTTAAAGGAATCCAAGTTATAATCTTAGCATGTCATTGAAACAAAATATACCACTCTTACGAACCTTTGCACATAGGTTGCGCGCTTGATTCCAATCTATTTCATGATAAGGTACCGTAAAGATTTCCTTTCTCAAAGACAGTACTGTTGGTGTGATTGGACCAACAAACCTCTTCCCATATAAGTATGACATAGGCAGGTAAACCATCCGGCAGTGACACCACATCCTTCCTGAATTTGGGGAGTAATTTTCCTTTATTAGACAGAACAGTAAGTAATTTTGCACAATTTTAAATTTGATGTGCAATCAACATCACCCAAGAAATTCCCTCCCAACCAAACATGTCATTTTGAAATGCATAAAAGAATGAGAACTATATTTTTTTCAGTGATAAGAAACAAGAAATTTTATAAAGGAGAAACAAGGATACAAAGGCTTAGAAGGATACCACATCCTTCAAGCTTGAAAACCAGTATAGCGACTAGAGGAAAATTAAACCCCACCCCACCAACTCCTACATCCCCCAGACAACAACACCCAAACAGAATTCCATATAGCAAACTCAAGTGAGGTTAGAGAGAATCCTGACTGGCCTCATCATGGAGGCCCTCTTATTGGCCAAGAATTCAGTATGCTTATTAGCAGATCTAGGACGTAGTGCACTGTGCACTATCTACGATCTAGGACGTAGGCGCTAGAGGTCCTTTGGAGCCTAGGCTCGAGGCGCGCCTGTGTGAAGTGAGGCGCACAATTGAAAATTTAAACTACCATAAAACATTCATATCTCATAAGTCGTATCAATATTCTAAACATTAATATCAAATATAAAAAAGTAAATCCATCAACTAAACAAGCATCCAACAACCATAAAACAGAGCACAAATTTATTTTCTTGAAAGGCAAAGCAGAATTTGTTTTTTTTGAATGGCAAAACAGAGCACAAAAAGAAATAAATCTGTTAATGAAAAAAAAATGTTAACAAGAAAAAAAAAAAAAACTGTTAACAAGAAAAGAAAAAACAGAGCCAACAAAAAAAAAGGACGTAGAGACAGAAGAAGTAGATGAAGAGAGAGAAGTAGACGAGAAGAGAGAGAAAGTGTTAAAGGAAAAAAGGAGAAAAAACAGAGCCTCGAAAAAAAAAATAAGAAAGACAGAGAGAAGAGAACTAGACGAAGAGAGAGACGTAAACAAAGATAAGAAGAGAGGAGAGAGAAGTAGAGGAAAAGAGAGAGAAGAAGAAGAAAGAACTGACGTGGCTTCGTCGTTCATCTCTGCAACTAGAGCTTTGTCGTTCGTCTCACGGTCTCACTCTTTCTCTGTTTGGTTGACACTTCGACTCTTGCACTTTCTTATTTGTTTATTCTTTTGAACAAAAGTTTCAAACTTGGGCTTTCAGTTTTCTTTATTAGGTTGCCAAAAATACCATTTTTGGCTTTATTAGAATAATCATAGTTTTTTTAAAAACATTCAGTGAGGCACGCCTGATAAACAGGACGAGGCACAACCGAGACGCGCGCCCAGTAAACATCAGTGAGCCTAGGATGACAACAAGTGCTAGACCTGCTCCTCGAGCCAAGGCGCGCCTTTAACAACACTGGTACCACATTTTCAAGAAGTGGTAAGCCAAGTGAACTAACAGACTAAATGGTTAACAAAAAAAGTAATGAAGTCTTATAAGAATATTGCTGTGAAGGAGTTGGGGTCGAGAATTCAGATATAGTAAAATCAGATACTTTTCACACAAAAATGAGATATGCCAACCTGATTGACTCATTCTTTATCATTTTTCATTTCCTTAAATGATAACCGCTAGTTCAAAATTTTGCAACCTATTCCTTGGCTTTAAAACATCATTCCTGCAGGGCATAAATATAATAGCCTTGACATTTTAATATCAGAAACTTTGTTATATAGATCATTTATGTTTGCCAGATCTATTCAGAACCTAAATGTCAACTGTACAATAAAACAGTATCATCAACCCATGACTGTAACTATGATCCATAGAATTTTCAATTTGTTGCTGGACAGTAAAAGATTTAAATGGACTAGCAGTTTTCAGGAAGTATGAGAGAACTCATCCATTCTTTTCAGTGCTGAAGAAAAGGTACATATTTTTTTTGGTTGGTATGTAAACAATTTTTATTTTCTCAAGAATATATATATATATATATATATATATAAGAGGTGTACACAAAAGGGAAAGCATAAATGGGCAGTGACCTGGATGGATAGGGAGAATATAAGGGAAAAGCCATATCTCAGGAGGCAGGGGATTATTTCCAGACCATTCAAATGCTCCAAGAACCTGTTACCATCAAAGGGAATACAACAAGAATAAAACGAGTTCCTCAGAGTGGGGGAAAAAAATAATAATAATAAAATATTTTTAAAAAAACAAGATAAAGGTTTAGTTGTGAACCGAAAGCCACATTTTCCCCCATGATGTTATTGCAGTGGCACCACCATGGTCCAGAATCCATTTACGCCCTTTCTCCATTGCCCCTTCTCCATCATTGGCCCCTTCACCAAGCAACCTCATAGTAACATAGTTCAAGACAGTACCAAACATGGTGCTTGGACCCTCAATGTGTAAACCCCACCCACCATCTCTGTTCTGCAATTCATATCTCAACATTTAGTATTTTTACTGTCCAGCTGGGAAGACATGTAAATAAAGGAAATTCTAAAATATACAAAATTGAATATCCTTAACAAAATCAAATTGCATCATGAAAGATGCATAATAGGTTCAAATACTAAGATTAACCAGCCTTGCCTGATGATTGTAAAGATAACGGCACATCTCATGCTTATGTTCTTTGGACAAAACTGCATTCAGTGCCCCGGTAATAGACAGAGTAATGACCTGATACATTAAACGAGCAAGAAAAAAAAAATTTCAAAACTGTGACGATTATCATTTTCTTGGACCGAATTTAATAGCTATATTCCAACACTACTTGCCCCTGCAGTGATAATCATTTTATATTAATAGAAGAATATGCAATTCCAATTTAACACAAACCACACTGCATGAATGACATGGTCAGAGAAGTCCTATACAACATATAGAAGCAAGCACCAAGGCAATATCAGCACTCACCAAGCCAGGCATTAGAAACATAGGACCTCCGTAATCTCCTGGCCAATGTCCATCGTGTGCTTGGATAGTTGAATAAAAACTGATACCTCTTTTTAACGTGTTTGTTACTTTATCCTCTGTAATTTCTTCCGAATCTTTTACTTTGACTTGTGGTAATATCACATTATTTGAATTCTCTCTGGCAAACTACATTTGGGAAGAAAAGTAACATGGGTTAAAAATAAGATTCATAATCAACTAAAAGGAAAAGTTAGAAAAAAAAAAAAAAAAAAAAAAAAAAAAACCTGAAAAGAACCTTAGAGCAACAGAAAAGTATCCTTCAAAAACACACTCACACTCCACAATTATCCCAAAAAGTATGCATTTGAGGGGTTACTTGTCATTTCTTTTATTGAAAAAAATCAAATGGAATGTGAGAGTATATAAGTGAAGTGCAAACAGTAATTTGGGAAACATAATTATAGTTATTATTTAATTGTTAATTTATTGTGTTACATCAAATTTTTCTTGATAAATAACTCACACACACACTCATATTGTCCTGTTAGAGACTTGAACCATCATCCTTGCATTTGCAAAGATGAGGAAATACCACTTTTGGGTAAACCCCTTGGTGTGTTGCTACCACTGTTGTTTTCTCAGTCACTTGCAAACAAACAAGTCAGAAAAATGAATCACAACCAAATAATGGGGCAAAGTTTTCTTGAGTTGAGTTAAGTCGTCCTTTGTAAATAAAGGTAGATTCTCTCATCTATATATTTATGGATGGATGGATGAAGAGAACAAAACCAAGTAATCATGAAGCAATATTTAATAAAGATGGATTATCTATATATGTATGTCTGTATGCAGGCAGGGAAACAAACCAAGTAATCATGAAGCAATATTTAAAGCAGTGACAGTGATTTACCAATAAATTGAAGATATCAATTATAGTTTATATTTAGTTATTATTTTACTTCCATTGTTGTTAGAGATTTATTTGCATACAACCTGGAAACCATGAATCAAATTAATTTTATACTACCATTTGTTTATTTCATTGGTTCCACTTGTTTTTTTTACAATTCTGACTCGTGTTGTTGATGCAATTGTTCTTGTGATAGCTGTTGTTATGGTGATAATTGTAATTGACTCTGTCACCATGAGCCAGTAAACCAATACCAACAACACAAATAATTTCAACCTTGCATTTGTTCATACTAATTTTACTAATCAAGAATCTCCACCGCACAATCAAAAATCTCCACAAATTACAAGAAAATTAACTAGAATGAATTAAGTAAGATAAATATGTATTATAAATACATGCATGTGTATATAATTATATATATGCATTATCCACATTTGTGAAATAAAATAAATTGTTGCCAGTAAGAGAGAAAACTTCGAATCTTTGAACCTGAATGCGCATTAACAGATCTGAACTGTGCTTCTTATCAAAGCGATTGTTGCGAAAGGTTTCACGGGCCTTTTCGATCTCCATGATCTCTTCGGGCGATCCGATTTTCGGATCGAACTCCCAAACTTGTCTGCCAACGTGATTGTTCAAAGACCGAAGCCATGGACTCCCTCCCTCTGCGATCTTAAGCTTCCACATTTACACTACAAATCACAAATGGTTTCAAGATTCAACTTCATTCACACGACACATATACATACATATTCATACTCAAATTACTTAGAAATTTAGATCAAATTAGGATCTAACTGATCGTGAAAATTAGTTTTAAATGTACCTTTCGTGAAGAGAGAGAGAGTGAAGAGTTCGTGTTCGCTCCTGGATTAGAAGAGAATGTATGTGTCAAACATTTGTATAAAGGGGGAGATGAGTGTGTGCATGTGAGGACTGAATAGAGAGAAGTTTAGAAAGAGAAAGTTTACGGTGAAGAGTCGTGTTGTAATTTGTATTCAGTGGTGTTCTAGAAGGCAAACATGGCCGCATGTTCTTGGCTGTATTAATGACCACCTTGGATTTGGAAGATAATACTCACTCATTGAAAATGGTTTGGGCGGCCTCATTAACCTATTACTTTGTAAGGGTCTACTTCCATAGGAGTATGAGTTGGGCTGTACTACCCTACAAGGCCTGGCCAGCGAATTGGATTTTGATAATATTAATTGAAATATATCCAATTGGAATATACTGTAATTTATTAACAATTGGAATATGATAATTTATTAAATTTATAAACCCATTGTAAATTATAATCAATTTGATTTGGCATAACATAATTATATAATATCTCTATATTACCTTTTTTTTTTTCATTAAAATGCTATAGTATAACCAGTAACTGAATTTTTCTTCTATTTAATTTTTGCCCCCACTTCTCTCTCTCATATATATATATATATATATATATATATATATATATATAATTTTGTTTGCTCATTTTTTTTTGACATTAAATTTATTAAAGTTTTCTTTCAACATGTTGAAAACAAGGGAGAAATTTTTAGATGGTCTAAATTCTAATTCATTTGCCATATGATGAACTAATATAATGAAAGCTAATGTTGAGTTTTATTTGTAATATATATATTTTACCTTTGTAATACAATAATCTCTATATTGATAATATTATTGTTTAGTGAGATTTTTTAATAGGCTTCATGAGGGCGGGTGGAGAGTAATTGAAAACATTATTTAGATTTGACATGTCATTTATGTGGGGGGGAATTTAAGAAAGTTGCAAAATTCTATTTTGAACGAGGAAAAAAAAAAAATTTATCACGGAATATGTTAGCTTTCTATATAAATACATTTCAAATGCATTCGAACAAGACACATTTGATCAAAGTGTACATTTGTTGAATTCACATGCTAATTAATAAAATAAATAAATAAATAAAAATTGAATTTTATATTTAAATGAAATTATTGACATAAATATACACACCGAAAGAAGAGATGAATTCATAATTGAATTTGGGGCTATCAAAATGTTATTGTTGAAGGGACTGCTAGTCGGTGATGCAGCTTAAGCCTTCAAATGAGGCATTATATGTTGTTTTTGGTGATGTTTTTCGTTTTCTTACTGTTTGTCAGGGACCCTCTTTGGCATGGGTTCCTATAAGTATTAATTGTGTAGCTGAGCAAAACGGCCTCGATGGACTGTAATTCTTCTTTTCTCAATGATTTGATTCTCTTGTTGGTGTTAAAAAAATAAAAAAAATAAAAAAAATAAAAATATTTATCGTCAATGAAAGTTGGGCCCACAAAAGTACTACTTAGATCCAAAAATACCAACTTAAAAGGACACAAAAAGTATGTAATGTGGCAGTGACACAATATATGAGAGGAAATAATACTATATCGTGGAGAAATTATTACACAATTTTAAAATTAATTCAGGTAAATTATATTGCGACATATAAGTAAAATATAAATGTGTTAATTTTATTTCATTTTTATTTTTGTGTTAATACGTCTGGAAAGAAAAACCAAAATGAAATTAGCATAAGCATACCGTTCCCCCCTTCCCCCCAAGAATTTTAAACTCTTTTAAAATGAGCCTCTAAAGAAAGATAGCTTATATTATATATATGTATATATATATAATCTATTACCAGTCTAAATATGCATGGCAGTGGCACACTACTATCTACTTTTGTATTTTTCTTTCTTTGCTTTTATCCCATTACCATCTGTTTTTGTCTTTGTCCTTTGCTTTTTGGTTTCTTCACGATCCTATCTGCCTTGGTTTTTTCCACTGCTTTTGCTTTTCGATCATCCTTGAGACCAGTTTTGATTTGCAAATTTGTTTTGTTATTTCTATATTTGATTTTCAATTTTACTCTTAATTGCTCTCTTGAAAAGAAAAAAAAAAAAAATCATTGCATTTTTCTCTTAAAGCAAGTTGACCCACTTTTTTTTTTCTCCACAATTTTTGGTTTTTTTGCTTTCTTGTGTGAAGAATTTCCGCACAAAGACAAAATTTCATTCCACTCTCATTCTCTCTCTCTCTCTATGTTTTAATTTCAGAAGCTCTCATTCTTGCCATCTGCTTTTGGTTTAGTTGGTGATGTTGTGTTGTCTGGGGAGATGAAGATCGATAATTTTTTATTTTTATTTTTATTTTTATTTTTATTTTTATTTTTTGCTGTTGTTTTTGTCTTGGATTGATTTCATGTTTTGAATTTTTTTTTTTTGTTTTTTTTTAAAACAAATTGGCAAAAATATGCCTATATAGATTTTGTATGAATATAATCGATAGAAAAATATTTCCGGTTTAAAATAGTTTTATATGAGATGGTAAAGTTGCTTATAATTTTAGTCCCCAACTAAACAATCTTCGCTCCGCCCTGACTTCCCGTTCTATGACTTAAGTTGAGTGCCATCATTTTGAATGTCATAATATTTCATCTAAAAACAAAATAAATAAAAATAAGAATCTTAAATATATGTGTGTGTGTGTGTGTATAATCCTCATGCAAGATTGTTTTTGAATTCCATCTCCTTCCAAAACTTTAAGGAAAATCTCTTCCAAACTTTATAGTGGAGTTCTCAAAGACTACGAAGAATGTAGAAACTTGCTGGCTGATTGGGGGGTGTCTCCCCAGGGTACTCGTCAACTGCTATTCTTGCCTTGTATGGGCCTCTAAGTGGTCTTTGTCCTGGGCCTGTCCCATGGTGTGTGTTAGTTCTTTGAACTCTGTTAGGCCTATGCCTTGTTGGCCTGGCTATAGCCCTACAACTTTTTTACATATTTTTACTTCTATACAATTGGTTGAATTTCTTTTGAAAAAAAAAATCAAATCCTCATGGTTGCAATATCTCCATAATTGTTGACAATGTGTTAATTTGTGATACACCACGGGTTCTTTGTCTCATATAGATATAAATCACATTATAAGGGCCAAAGTTTATATGAGATGCACTTTCTTACAGTTATGTCATATAGGTGTGAGTCTCATTATAAGAGCCCACGATCTTACCTATGATTATGTCACATATACGTGATCCCTCGTAACTCATGTGAGATGGTTCGAGTTTTTCTTTTTGATCACCATCTGCAAGTTTTTAGTAACACCACTTTAACTTTGTATAATTGTTTTTTGTAATTACCATGTAAAGCATCATAGGCACTATATATATGTGTATACATGTGTGTGTTATTTCGTAGTTTAAAAATAACTTATTTCACTATTATTTTTCTAGAGAGCCATACAGACAAAATATTGGTGATTACTTACGACTTGTCATATAGGTGTGAACCCTCACAACTCATGTGAGATGGTTCGAGTTTTTCTTTTTGACTACTATATGCAAGTTCTTAATAACACCGCTTGACTTTGTATAATTATATTTTAATAATCATCATGAAAAGCACCAGTAAACACGATATATACGTGTATGCATCTGTGTGTTATTTTGTAATTTAAAAACAACTTATTTCACTACTATTATTCTAGAGCTCCCTGTGGACAAAATATTGGTGATTGGCATCGCCTTTGGAGGTATTGAAATGGGTTGGGGAAGTAGTTTCATTATTTAGGCCTATCATTGGTAAAAATTATATTTTATTGTCTTTAATTGGCCCACTATATTTATCACTTTCTTTCCCATTCAATTAGCATTATATTTCTCTTGAGTCATCTAAATTGATAAACTTTATTAACATATAGATAGGTATACAAATAAAAGTTGTCTCCATTAATTTTATATATATATATATATTAAATAATAATTAAATAAAAAAAAACTCTCCTATTGGTGAATGGTGATGATGAGAATTACTATTTGTAATCATTCTAGTTCCTATTTTGTCCACTTTAGCTTTAGAATTTAGAAGGCATCTCCATGTAAGAAAATTGGTCCCCTACACCGACTCTAGTAATGGGACATGTGATCGATAATTGCCTAATTGGTAAGAAAATTGGTCCCATTAGATACGCATGAAGAACTTTAGTCTTTGATTGGACCTACTTATAATCATATTCATATCTAATATTAATTATTATGTATATATATATATTTACAAGTTGCCTCTTGAGAGCTGATAATAGCTTCTTTTTAAATGTCTCTCTTTCAATATTGGTCCCCAAAATCAGTCACTTTTTTTTTTTTTTTTTTTTCTAAGGTTTTTGGGAGTTTTAAAACACATCTCCATCCACATTGGAGCCCAATATCTTCGACACTATTTATTTATTATTATCATTATTTATTTATTTTTTAAAACACAAACCAAAGATAGACATATTGAATGGCTCTTTTCCGTTGGTTTTCATATTTTCCTATTATTCTAAGGGCTCTGCCATTAAATCATTTTTAAGTACCCCACCTTGTAGCATTACAAAATGTTTGTTCCTTATTATATGCATAATATATATATATATATATATATATATATATATATATATATGCAGGAATTATATATATATATGCAGGAATTATATATTTAGCTGCAATGACACCGACACCGACACCGACATTGTTCATAAGGAATAAATTTAATAAAATAGTGCATTAATTAGGTGGCCAATGATAATCTAGCAACCATAAGATGTGCAAGTATATATAAAGTGCCACCACTTCTCTCATTGTAACCAACATTCCTCAGAGAGTACACATCTTGCATGTTAGCTCTCTCTCTCTCTGGGCATCAGATACATTTTATTTTTATACATATTAGTTTTTCCATAGCTCTCAATAATATTCACCTGCGTGAAAATTCCAACTTCTGTTCTTTTTTACTTATTAATTAGAAGCTATATATAAATATAATGACAATATTTTGAAGAGATCATTATATAATTTATCATGCCTTTTGTTATTTCTTTGAAATGTCTATATATTTGGTTATTTCTTTTGTGTTGCTACTACTAGTTGAAGTCCTTTGGGGAGTTCATTATTACCAAAGGCCTTTTCATTATGTGTATTTTATGCATTTCTTCCATTAGTTGCACTTGCATGCATGTCTAATTATCATATATATATATATATATATATATATATATATATATATATATTACATTAGATAGAAACTCATACCTTCGACAAAAACTCATACTCCCACGTATATTTAAAGTTAGGTTGGTCTTATCATTCGGGTAATTCTCTTATTGATCGTATGAGTACACATCCAATTAACACAACATCAATCGTCCCTTCTCCTCATATTGCTTCCCACTTACGGAAATGTACTTCTTTTTTTCAAGAGGAGAGGTTCCTTTCTTTCTTCTAATTGGTAAGAAATCAATTTTTTCTTCAAGTTCCTCCTACAAACTTGAAAGTTCCGAATGTTAAAAAGTATCACTAAATTATAACCATTAATAGTAAAAGATTGTATAAAAAGATAGAAGAAAAATCCACTAGCCCTAATACCATACACACACACACACATATATATGATTCATACCGTATCAAGACACAGGTTGTGCATCAAATTAGGAAACATATAATGGATTGAAAATTAAAAACACCAGTTGTATAATGAAAGAAATTAACGATATGGCAGTTGGGGAATGTCAGTGGTTTGTGGTTGATAGATACAGATACATAGGAGTAATGAATGATCTCATGTTGTCTCCCGTTTTATATATATGTATATGTATGTATGTATGTATGTAAATCAAAATGTCACACTCTTTTGAAAATAAATCCCTGCAGCAAGCAATTATACTAATATAGTTTCATCCCACGACGGTCCAGACGAGCCAGCATGGGACTAGGGACACGTGCCGCCAGCTGGTCCCATTATTATTATTATTATTATTTAAACTTAGGCATATAATTTAAAAAAATCTATAAAATGCTCCCATAAAATTATCCTTTTTCAAAAATTTCTCTATTTCTTTTCTGTTCTTTTCATTCTTACTCCTCTTTTCTTCTTCATCATTTGTTTCTTATTTTTTTTTTTTCTCTTTAAATATTTACATTATCTTTATTGAATCAAACTTTTATTTTTTTTCTTCAAAGTTATCTCATATATTTTTCTTTTTATTTTCTTCACTTGTTTTTAACAATTGTAATGAGATTTTTTTTTTTTTTAAAAAAAAAAAAAAAAGAAAACTATGTAAATAGCATATTTTAAAATAATGCAATAAAAAGTTACTATGTCCGTATTTATGTTTCCGAATTAATTTTATAGCAAATATTTCTTGAATTATTAAATACTATATTAATTTTGAATAATGCACGGTCACTATACTTCTATTCATTAATTTATAATCTTGTTGCTACGTTAGCTAATAAAAATATATTTTATCCTGTTTAATACAATGTCCCTTAAATTAATTCCTAGCTCGGCCTGGACTCCAATGATTGTTTTTATTTATGTATGCTTGCTAAGATATCATGAATAATATTAATTATGGTTTTTAATTAATATTATGTTGTATCATGATATAGCATTATATCATGAAGATGCAAGATGGGTACTTTTCCAAGATGTTAATTTATTTATTTATATTATTTTAGGTTTTGGAAGACATCAAGTGAAAGAAATTAAGAAAACAAAAAATGTGGAAGCTTATACAATCTGAAGGTGACGATCCTCGGGTTAAAAGCACCAATAATCATATTGGTAGACAATTTTGGGAATTCGACCCTAATCACGGAACACCTCAAGAACATGCTCAAGTTGAAAAAGTTCGTGACGAATTTCATGAGAACCGGTTTAAAGTCAAGCATAGTTCTGATCTGTTAATGAGACTTCAGGTAAGACCATATATAGTTCTAAAAATTGAATTAATTCGATAATTAGAATAAAATTGTTTTCTGTTTTCATACTTCTTAAGAAATACGTTACCCAAATTAACGTGCCCATATATATATATATATATATATATATATATATATATATATGTTGTTTGAATTATTACTATTTTTATTTGTGATGTGTGTAGTTTGCAAAGGAGAATGAATGTGAGAGGAAGTTACCAAAGGCGAAAGTGATCAGAAATGAAGAAGTAGCAAGTGAAGAAGAAGTGGTAACCACATTGAAAAAGGCACTGAGTTTCTACTCAACTCTCCAAGCTGAGGATGGGCATTGGCCTGGGGATTATGGCGGGCCTTTGTTTCTTCTACCAGGCTTGGTAAGAACCACCCATTTATTTCAATAATGGGCCTCTATCTCAATAGTACGACTTCCCCTTTTCGAATGGAGATATTCAGAGTCCGGTCCGATTGAGACCGATACTTTTGAGTCCTAATGCATTACAAATTATTTAAATTTATAAATATATTTGGATTCACTGTTGATGTAGTACGATTATAGAATAACAAGTATACATTTTTTAAATTTAATATGTCTGAAAAAAAAAAACGCTTAACTTTCATTTTCTTATATTTAAATTTAATATGACAAAGTATCATTCTATTATTATATTACATAAGCTGTGGGGTGACAAAAAGAAGATATACATATATATATATATATATATATATATAATATTGATAAAAAAAAAAAAATGATATTATCATATTATGAAGCATTCCTTCATTTTGTAGATTATCAGTTTGTCTATGATGGGGGCCGTGAATGCAATTTTGCCACAAGAGCATCAAATTGAGATACGTCGTTACATATATAATCATCAGGTAATTCTTTTATTTATATTTAATTGCCCGGGCTGACCCAAGCCCAACTTGAACCTCAAAATGTTTTCGTGGGATATATGTTAATAATATAAACTATTGTAATGCTATATTCTGCTATAATAGATGGTATCTAATAAGTACTCGTTTTAGAGTGTTTATTTTAATAATTGTGGCATCAATTGATAAAAAAAAATGAATAGAAAGTTTTATTTTTATTTTATAAAATAATTGCACATATGCATAGAAAATTTAAAATTGTTAGAACTAATAAACGTGCTGATAAATTATTTTCTTGTTGGACTGCAGAACGTAGATGGGGGATGGGGATTACATATAGAAGGGCGCAGCATTATGTTCTGTACGGCTCTCAATTATGTTGCCCTGAGATTGCTTGGAGAGAGAATGGACGGTGGAGATGGAGCCATGGACAAATCAAGGAAATGGATTCTTGATCATGGTGGAGTCACCTACATTCCATCATGGGGAAAATTGTGGCTCACTGTAAGAAAAATATCTATAAGAGTATTAATCCCACATACTAATAAATGATTTTTTTTTTTTTTTTTGAAAACAGAATAAATGAAATTTTGGTTAAGCTCCTTTTAGCCACTTACCCAAAATAACATGAATGATACACCAAATCTGATTTAAGAGCTCTCTCTCTCAATCTTTTTTAACACTATTATTTATTTTTCGGAGAATAACACTATTATTTATTGCGACAAAAAAACTGTAACACATCATCACCCATAATTTTTTGAGTATTGCGATAATTATTTATAATCTCTCATGGTAGTGTAACAAGTTTTATATTTTTTTAATATAGATCAATAATTATCACTGTCATCGTCTCATCTCATGACAACTACTATAATCATGGTAATGAATATGTGTTATCATGAAAACTATCATCTCATGAAGTTTACCAAAAAATTAAAAAAAGAAAAGAGATCACCTTATGTAGATGTAAGAGGAAATAAAATGTCTACTTGTAAACAATTTGTTAGGTACTCGGTGCATACGAGTGGAGTGGCAACAATCCGCTACCCCCGGAGACATGGCTCGTCCCGTACATTCTTCCTATACACCCAGGTTCTACATTTTCTTTTTTCTTTTTGTTGTAAATTTTAATTTCTATGCAAAATTTCCTCTAAAATTATGGGATCCACCAACCCTCATATATATATATATATATATATTTGTCTCTGTGTTAGATTAGATTATAGGAAGAGAAAACTGGGGACAGATGAAATTATACACACAGATTTTATCCATAAATTACAAGTTCTTATGCAAATATGTTTAATACATGAATCATGAATGTACATAAGCTAAATATTTCTTTTTGAATATATGCTATTTCCATACATAACACACGCATATATATATATTACCAATGATACAGGACGAATGTGGTGTCACTCACGGATGGTATACCTGCCAATGTCATATTTATATGGGAAGAGGTTTGTAGGGCCAATGAATGCCACTGTTTTATCATTAAGAAGAGAGCTTTATACACTTCCCTACCATCAAATTGACTGGAACCAGGCCAGAAGCCTATGCTCTAAGGTACCCTTGATTCCCACACTTTAAAATTGATAACAATTGCCTACAAGTTGCCTGATTAGAAAGTAGTAAACAAATAATAATAATAATAATAAAATAATATGTTCCACACTCAATGAGTTGGGAAAAAGTTTGAGTCAAGATTGGCCTAAATTTTTTTGGGTTCATCACAAGCGTATGTTGGCTTGGCTCATTTTGTAACCCTATGTTGATAATGGTACAAGGAATTCTGACTATTTATGTAAGTGGAGGCTAATGTCATTAATATTATGACGTTATGATAACATTAGCTAATACTTATATAAAATCATTTGGATTTGTCCGACTGTCGGACTCCCTATCATTACTCATAATACTATGATGGAGAGAATAAAACTTCTAACCGACGAGTTTTTAAACAAGGAGAATTATGAAATTTTCAGACATGATATCATAGTTCAAGACATATATATAGTAAAAATAATGGAACTTTTTTTGACATGATGAGATTTTGTGTTACAGGAAGATCTGTATTACCCACACCCTATGCTACAAGATATGATCTGGAGTGGTTTGCATAAGGTTGTAGAACCTCTTCTCATGCAATGGCCTTTTTCTAGGCTAAGACAGAAGGCACTGGACACTGTTATGCAGCAAATCCACTATGAAGATGAAAACACACACTACATATGCCTTGGACCTGTCAATAAAGTTGGTACTTTTATCTCACTCACACATTAATTCTCTCTTTCTCAATGTAAGAAATCAAGGGTATGTTTGATTCACTTTTCTGAAAATAGAAAAAGAACAATGTGAAAATTAGTTTTTTTTTTTCCCTTTACAAAACTAAGTTGAGGAAATGTGGTTATCTATTAAAAAAGTATTTTATTGTTATTTGGAAACCGTTTTTAAATAACTGAACGGAACAGACTCAAAGATTCTACTAGGTCTGGAGGTTGACAATAATTATGAACATGGATGAATCACAATGTGTGCGTGTGTAATGAACTGTGGTGAACATGCTCTCAAATCACTTTTCATAAAAGTGTTCTGCTTCAAATGTTTTTTTCCTAGTTGGTACTCACACACTTGTCTCTTCTGAGACTTGAACCCCTGGCCTCCCTTTGGACAGTAAGAAATTGATACCGCTAGGCCACTGGTCCGTTGGTCAAATGTTATGTTTCGTGAAAGTGAAAACAACAGCAACATCAAACGAGGCCTAAATATTATGTTTCGTTCCAGTTTTTGAAGTTGTACAACTTAACACTAAGCTAAATTTTCTGATGAAAACAGGTGCTAAACATGGTTTGTTGTTGGGTGGAAGATCCAAATTCAGAGGCATCCAAATTGCACATCTCAAGGATCAAAGATTATCTTTGGGTGGCTGAAGATGGCATGAAGATGCAGGTTATCTGTTGTATATTCTTCCCAATCTTTCTTGTCACACTTGGCTTTTCCAAACCTTGTCCAATTGGTTCTACTTCTATAAATAATTCAAGGACTTTGGATGCTAAGTAAATCAATACTTTGACTGGAAGATATATATATATATACGAGCTGATTAACATAATATAAACAATTTTTTTTTTTTTAATGACAGGGCTATAATGGATCTCAATTATGGGACACTGTTTTCGCTGTTCAAGCTATACTTGCAACCAACCTTACTGATGAATATGGTTCAATGCTCAAAAGAGCACATGAGTTCATTAAAATCTCACAGGCATGCCATTTTAATTGTGGAGAACTGTTTTCATCAATTGCAAAAAGAAAATCATTCTAATCAAGTCAAATACTTTAAACTGTTTGCTAAATCTGGATTTTGTTTTTAGGTCAGGAGAGATAGCTATGGCAATCTTAGTTCCTGGTACCGACACATTTCTAAGGGCGGATGGCCTTTCTCTACACCGGACAATGGTTGGCCTGTTTCAGATTGCACTGCAGAAGGTTTGAAGGTGATCTTTAGGGTTCTTTTTTTGGTCATACATACATTATTACAGAAGCAGATCCTTCATGCCCTTTCTTTAATCCATTTCAAAAGAGAACACGAGTTTCAATAGGGTGATTCAAAACTTGCAGATGTCTTTCTCTTCAGGTCTTTGTTTTTCAATAGAACAGCACTCCTAAGATCAACACATCACATTGAAACAGAGTGCAAAAGTTACACTGAGAACCATGTTTGAATACTAGTAGTCCTAAATGTTTAAGGGAACAAAGAATAAGTCCAACAACGTATATGAAACATTCATATTTTGGCAAGAAAGTGTTCTCAAGCATGAATGCTGAAAACTGAATTAAGAGAGTTAGTTTGACGTTAAGTCTAAAAATTGTTCGCTCCTATTGTCACCTAATTTACATGCCAGTGTTCATGTTGTTCAAGATGCTACTAAATTCATCTGCAGACAGCACTCTTGCTATCGAAAATGCCAGACAACATTGCTGGAGAAACAATAGCACCAAATCAGCTACACGACGCAGTTAATCTTATTCTCACTCTTCAGGTATTACCTTTAAGTTTATTAACTATATGCATTAAATTCTATGCTGATGCTCCATTTGTTTCGTCGTAAAATATCTTCCTCAAAAAATATTTTCCTTTTCTGGATAATTATTATCATTATTCGGTATTTGACAAAGGTCTAGCTCAAGGTTGAGGTCGAGTCTATTGAGTTAGGCGTGTAAAATAACTTGCCGAAAATTGATGAGTAAATTATTTTTGTTAGGTTTCAATAAAATATTTTACTTCGTAAATATTTTACTTAATTTTTGACAACCAAACCCCCAAAAACAAATTAAAATTTTTCTAGATCATAGTCTAGATCTAAAACTGCAAGCACTCTTCCTTCCAGACTGGACATCAATAATCTTCTGAGTTTATGGTTCTCTCTGCAGATTTATAAAATTTAATGACTACAGATTACTAATCAAAACTTGGTTCTTTTTGCTTCCTGTAAGTAGTGGGAAGCACTATTTTGGGGGTCCAAGGACAAGTGATCTATGGGACTGCCATTTTTCCTTTCTATCACATTCTAACGGAGTTCATATTCATTCTCGTAACCAAACAATGGAAATCTTTTATGAGAACTTGGTTCGGCAAGGTGGCCCTCTCTCATGCCCCAATTTAATCCAAATACTACGTTGCCTTAATTGAAAGAATTAGTTGTTTCTATTTCTAATTAAACTCATTTTTTTTTTCTTTTTTCTTTTTACCAATGTAATGAAGGAAAATATAAATGTTTCATGCTACACAACATGCTTCTTTACAGTAATAATTCAATTCTTAGTACCAAAGATTTAAAACTTTTACATTGCAGAACAACAATGGAGGATTTGCATCATATGAGCCCACAAGATCTTATGCATGGCTGGAGGTAAATTCTCTCTCTCTCTCTCACACACACACACACAGACTATTTGTAAGGCATTAAACAAGTACGGAATAAAAATCTCCATGCACCTTGTTCCCCTTGCAGATAATCAATCCGGCAGAATTATTTGGAGATGTCATGATTGACTATCAGTAAGATCACTCAGAATCCATTACCTGAACAGAGTTCATAACATTATTCACTGCCACAATCTCAGTATTGTTTCATCAATCACATCACATTAACATTAGCAATATAAGTTCTGCTATTCTTTAATTGCTAAGAAAACCTTAGTGTAATCTAAGGCTATTAAGTTTTTTTCTCAAAATGAAATATTAGTTCTCTCTATGCTTCTTCGGAAGACGATATTAAGTTTTTTCTCAAAATGAAATATTAGTTCTCTATGCTTCTTCAGAAGACATATTAGGAAACCAGAAAAAAATTGATAATAAAGAAGAAGACGAGAAGAAAAACAAAATTGCTTCCATATAATACAGTTACTGCCTAAAACTATGGTATTTATAACATTGAGTGCATGTATCATGCATGTGCACACACACACACATGCTTATGTCCTCAGTTTTCATCTGCTTTTAACTAGTCACAACATTATATTGCAGGTATGTAGAATGCACCTCAGCAGTAATTCAGGGACTTAAATTATTCATGAAATTGCATCCAGAACATCGAAGAAAGGAAATAGAGGCATGTATTGCAAAAGCACTCGACTTCATTGAGACCATACAGCTACCTGATGGCTCATGGTTTGTTTTCTTCTTCTATAAACTGATTAGTTTGATTATCACTACATATTGTTGAAGTATCTTAGGAGGGAGGGAAAGAGTATATTAAATGACTTAGATGACGAAGATTTGCAACTTCCAAATGTGGCATCTAAATAAACATATATAAAAACAAAAGATTATATGCTTAAAAAAGTATTCTTGGAACCAGGGAAAAAAAAAAAAAAAAATTTCTAGATGAAAAGTTATGATATTCCAACAAAACTGAAGTGCACAACTCAGAACATCCATAAATTTGGCAACCCTTCTAATTTCAGTCACATTAGCACTTACTAAACTGTTTTGTTACTTAAATTCATGTAAAACTCCAGTACTCATGGATTCATTAGGTATAAAACATCTCATATGGTTTTAAGTTCTGAATTAGGTACGGGTCTTGGGGAGTCTGCTACACCTATGGGACATGGTTTGGGATAAAAGGGTTGGTGGCTGGTGGTATGACTTATCAAAATAGCTATAGCATCAGAAAAGCTTGTGATTTCCTACTATCCAAACAGCTCGACTCTGGAGGCTGGGGAGAAAGCTACCTTTCATCCCAAAACAAGGTAAGAGTTCTACGGTTGATTTTATTTTTTGAAACAATTTCTATAACACTTTGAACCACTATTTTGAACTCATAACCTCCAATTCACAATTCCTTACCCAAGCACCAAGCAATGTTTTTAAACATCCAATTTACTCCCAAGAGTTTTAAATGAACTTTTGCTACACTTCCAATATATCAGAACCTTCTTGATTGTTATTATTATTTTAATTCTAATTGAAAAAACTATTAGATTCATCTTTTATTTATCTATCTTATATATAAGTACAGGTATACACAAATATTGAAGGGAACAATCCGCATATAGTAAACACTGGATGGGCAATGTTGGCTCTTATTGAAGCTGGGCAGGTAGGTCTAATAAATAGTCTCAGCTTTTATCATATTTGATTTGATTAAAACGTAGCTGCAAAAAATTACGGAAAACCAATTGGATAGTCATTCTTATGATATTTTTATATTAAAAATGGAATAGGCCCTGAGAGATCCAAACCCATTGCATCGTGCTGCGAAGGTGTTGATTAATTCCCAAATGGAAAATGGAGACTTCCCACAGCAGGTAACTTATATAATGGGGAGATATATCTATATCTATGTAAATATGTGTGTGTCAGTGTGTGTGTAGAGAGAGTAGTTGGATTACAAGCTTGACTAATTTATGGGTTTTTAAGTTATTTATTTATATTTTAAAATAATCTTGACAGGAAATAATAGGAGTCTTCAACAAGAGCTGTATGATAAGCTACTCTGCCTACAGAAACATCTTCCCCATATGGGCCCTTGGAGAATATCTCAATCATGTTCTACTACCTTCAAGAAAATTTTAAATGTACAAATTATATTAATAAATGTGTATTTTTGTATAAAAGTTAAAATTAAATGAAAATAATGTTGTGCATATTTAGAGCCCTAAGCTGCCTTAATAAAACTGACTGGTGTTTTCCCTTCCAAAACCTCGCATTGGACGATAGTTACCAACAACTTAGTAATGGAGAAACCATTGTCATGAATGTTCTCTAAAATTGTCTGGTTTATGACTGAATTTCATGGATGGTTTCCTTGCACTATTAATTCATCCCACTAAATGTAAATTAACAGAATTAAAATTTATTAATTTGGTGTAGAGACAACTGAGAAATTTCAAAAACAGAAACATTTTGGGCACTTGTCAGACTTGAATCTCAATCCTCATATGTGTAGGACCAAAATTCAAATTCAGGTTTCTTAGTACGTTTCACAATTGATGTCCACATGCTTTGTGATTTGGCAGCTCTTTGTTTTGGACTTCTAGACTGCTTATGTTGCTTCCTTGCCTAGACATAGATCTGAAGGAAAGGCTGTGTCTGATTCACACCACTTGAAGCAAAAAAAAAAAAAAAAAATTCTTCTAATTCAGTGAGGAAGACTATAAATACTCCAATAACCGTTGAAGACTAGAATTCTAAAGGAAAATTTGGGAAAAGCCTCGAGAGAAGTTTATAATCTGTAAATAACTCAAAATCATATTGATAAGACTTGGATACAACAGATATAATAGATGCTGTCCCTTTTATAAGACACTATTAATGACACTTACTTTCCCAAGAATGACTTTCAAAATCCCCATAGATCTTTAATGACAAATTCTGCAGTTCCCAGGACATTTTCAGATTTCACATACCACAATTACTACTTTAATAGACTCTGACTAGACACTTTTCAAGACACTGTTGACTGACTCAGTCTTGACTAGAGACACTGTTAATTATTTGCATCAGGAACAAGCCCATCTACTAGAAATAGAATTAGCCTACTTATATGGAATGGTAAAGGGGTTCACATCCTAAAAAATATTGACAAGTAAGAAGGATGCATAAAATTTTTAGAAGAGTGGAAAAGGGAAATACAGATGAAGATTATAACTAAAGAGAGCAGTAAAAAAATGGGAAGATGGTGACACAATACCATAGAAACCAAAACCAATTTAATGCTGCCTGTCCCAGCTGCATATGAAATTTACTAAACCCCACAGGTCGTCTTTGAGATCCTACATAAAAAACAAACCACTGTTATTACAGAGACTGAAAATTGAGCTTGAAACCTGAAACTTTGTAAACATAACTAGCTCTTTTAACCATCTTCAACAAGTGCATCTGCTTATAGAAACTGCAAACCACAAAAAAGTATAGAGCAAAAACCAATTTCCAGAAAAATTAAAATGACTACTAACATGAACCAGGCTTGGTCAGCTTGCAAATAACATTAGGCAAACTGCACAAGCAACAAGTCCACGAGGAAGAAACCACAGAGACAAAAACCAAGATTTGTCCACCAAATGCAATGACCATATACCGATCCAGGATCCAGTTCACCTAAATTCGTGACTACCAAATATAAAACTCGTTGATAAGAAAGATAATACATCCATTAACACAGCATAAATATATTCGGAAGGAAAATGGACCTTAAAGAACAAATACTTGGGAGGCTGCAGGGCAGGAGATAGATCAGAAACCTCACTGATGAAAATCTTATATTTCTAACTTTTTGTATTGTAACAATCTAAAAGCAGCAGAAACACAGAAAAGAAAAGTACCAAATTAGAAACAAGTCATTCCACATATGATTTTAAAGTAACCCAAAAGAACAATAAAAATAAAGCTGAAAAAAAAAAAAAAAAACAATATTCAGTAAAACTAATGATGCGAACAACAAAAATGCTGATATGACGGAAGGAGGGGGTGAAACAAAACAGATCAATTCACGTGGCCAGTTCGACAATTTTTTTCCAAAAATAGAAAATAGTACACATTTTACCGGGAAAAAACAAGAAAACAGTTCCTGCAGGAAGCTGAAATGGGAGATAGATCAGAAACCTCACCGATGAAAATCTTATATTTCTAACTTTCTGTATTGTAACAGTCTAAAAGCAGCAGAAACACAGAAAAGAAAAGTACCAAATTAGAAACAAGTCATTCCACATATGATTTTAAAGTAACCCAAAAGAACAACAAAAATAAAGCTGAAAAAAAAAAAAAAAAAAACAATATTCAGTAAAACTAATGATGCGAACAACAAAAATGCTGATATGACGGAGGGAGGGGGTGAAACAAAACAGATCAATTCACATGGCCCAGTTCGACAATTTTTTTCCAAAAATAGAAAATAGTACACATTTTACTGGGAAAAAACAAGAAAACAGTTCCTGCAGGAAGCCGAAATGGGAGATGGAGACATAATAAAGAGACGTTCTTACACATCTTTCAATACGTAAATAAACACAAGCAAAATCAAATTGAACACTGTTTGCCAAAGGTGCCCAACAGCATATGACACTTACTAAATCCTACAGGTCTTTGCTCAAACTTTGTAAGTATGAGTAGCTCCACCTTAACCATCTTCTCAAGTGCATCTGGGTGTGGAGGACTGCAAACAACTAAAAAGTAGATAGTCAACAGCAATTCTACAGGAGAAAAGGTAATAATACCAAAAGGCTACATGTTTGCAGAGAAACAGAAGGCTAAACACAAGAACCAAGTCCACGAGGAAGGAAGAAACTGCAAAGACAGACAACAGGTCTCTTGTCCTCTGAATGCAATTGACCATATATGCCTATCTCCCATCCAGGCACTAATTCAACTAAATTGACTAGAAACCTAGACATCATTCTTTAGGAAGATAATATAAAATACGAAAGACCAAGGTTTAGAGTACATCCATTACAACTGCATAATTATGCTAGGAAGGAAACAAAAGCAAAAATCATTTGTTGGTACCCCTGCAGGAGCACAAATCAGAAGTGTCACCAATGTCTTAAAGGACAACCTACAAAACGAAAAAAATCAACAAACTCCATGCTTGCAAATAACAAGTACTCAAGAAAGGATGAAACTGCAAAGATTGTCCTCCAAATGCAATGATCATATGACTATCAAGTATTAAATTAGTTAGCAACAGCTACTACCCATTAATGGTAGGAAGGTAATATTAAACAAATGAGATCAAGGTTCAGAGTGCAACCATCACTACTGCATAATCATGCTGGGAAGAAAGACAGGAAAACAAAGGTTCAGAGTGCAGCCAGCACCCTGCAGGAGCACAAATCAAACTTGAAGAGAAGTTCAAAAGAAAATTATCATCCAGTTTTGCCCTCTAACTGTGTTCTGAGAAGTTGTGGACCAAATTTGGTACCAGGTCGCGTTGCAACCTGATGACCCATTGGATGAGCTTTGCTTAATTCGTATTCTCTTGTAGCCCAATATATAAGGGCGATTAGGGTTTGGAGTGAATGATTGAGAGACACCAAAAATCGTACAGAAAGAGAGTGAGGGCGATTAGGGCTGGTAATCTTCGATTTTACACATAGTGAAGACTTTAGCCGGATCTCCACCGTGGACGTAGGCTTTGCAGAACCACGTATAAATCTTTGTGTTCTTGTGTGTGGTGTGTTTATTTCTGTCGTGTTTCGTGATTGTTGCTTGGGTTCCCTGCGTTTGGCGTAACATATTCCAATCCATGTCCTTAATTTTCTCATAATGTCAAAAAAAGTAAGGCACAGAAAAGAAAAAAGAAAAAAAAGAGAGGATAATATATACTTGCACTTGCAGTTCAGTAGTAACGTCACCTAAATGGAGAGGAACATAAAGTTGAGGACTGAAACCACCGGATGGCAACTTCATATAACAGGACACAAAAACACAGATTGAATACCCTCCCATACTACCTGGAAAATTATAAAATTTCTTCAATATGCAAAGCATAATAAAAGAACTTAGACAAAAAGTCAGATATCTCATCAGTGTTTTCTCATACAGATTGAATACCCTCCCATACTACCTGGAAAATTATAAAATTTCTTCAATATGCAAAGCATAATAAAAGAACTTAGACAAAAAGTCAGATATCTCATCAGTGTTTTCTCATACACCTGTCTTTTTTGCTTTCCATCGAGGTTGCAATGAGAATATTTACAAAGCCAAACCTTCTGAATCCAAATATTACTACACGCATGATTAAAAAGTCTGCAGCTAATTAAACACAAATAAACAGATAAATTAAGAAGATTTGTTAACCAAAGAGATACAAGGAAATGTCCTTGTATCACTTCTAAAATAAGAAATCTGTGTTGACTTTCAGGCAACTAGTGTTTTATGTATGACCTCTCAAAAATGTAAAGAACAGGACAGCAAAGAACATGTATATGAAAACAAACAAAAAATAGACAAAATTCTTGGTCGACTTTACCAAGAACAAAAGGATAAATATATGTATATACACACTGATACACAAAGACAGCACATCTGCTGAGAAAGCCTAATATCAATAATGATACGACAAAAAAAGGAAGTCGTAGAGCTCAGTCCGAATAGGAATACTTTCTTAACGAAGTATGCAAAAGTGAAACGGAAGTTACTGCAAAGTGGTTGAACCTGTCTTTAAATATGTTCTTAGTTGAGAAACAGAAGTTACTGCAAAATGGTTGAACCTGTCTTTAAATATGGTTCATCTGCCCTAATAAAGTTCAAACCATCACAATAATAGGAACCAACAATAACTCCACATAATAAAGACACAGACACTCCCAGCAAACACCAGAAATCAAAGAACCTGCAGCAGCTCCACCAACTAAAAAAATGGAAAGCAGAATTCTCAAAAGCTTTTCATTTTAACAATGCCCGTTCAGAACTCTTCAACATGAATCATGTCAATAACTACAACATAAATACATAATCTTGACAACCGAGTCAACAATTTTTTTTTTTATAAATTGCCACATTCTTGCAAAAAAAAAATATTTATACATATCCAAAAATAAGTGTATGCATAACTCAACCGAAATGGCCTAATC